GAAACGACTTATTTGGACCTTAGTGGTAGCAAATGAATGGTAAGTAACTGGTTCTTAGGCTTTACATAATATTACCCATTTGCAGTGGCTCATTATTTTAACAGTTACACAAGCTATTAATGAATTCCTGTTTCTTGTTTTAACTCCTTGGTCAGTTATTAGGTTATTTTGGTATTCAATTTCAATATCTTTTGTGCTTGCCGACGTGGGAATGAGTAAGCATTTATTTCATTGTTTTTAAGAGCTTTGAAATAATTAAAATTGGTACTTTAACATCATATGCAGCTAGTCTACATAGGCAAAGACAGTTAAGCAATAAAAGGACATCAGTCTAATTCGAAAGCATCACTCACCTACATTGGTCATTCAAACAGTAGATCAAACAAATATCTAACTCCACTTTATCATTAAATTGTTCCTTTAAAGGTTCTATCGAGTGATTACTGTCCACTACTCCTCATATCACCGCGAAGGCCACTCGAATCAGTCCATAACGAAGTATTGAATAACAGTACCGCTATTCAGGGAGCATGCGTAAGAGTGGGCGCAACTGTACAACGAGCAGATCAAGCTACACCAATCTGTCATTTACTTTCATGAATTCTCGACTTTATATCAAAATAATAAAGATGAAAGTCTAATGAAGAAATTTACAAATTGGTGTAGATTGAACTGCTTGCTTGTACTTCGATAACTTCAAGTTTATTATTGCTTTAAGAAAGTAGTGATAACGATGACTGGTTGCGAGTGTACTTTTATTTATACTTCCTTTCTTTGTAAGTGATTATACGTTAACATCTTTATTTAGTGTAATTCTTAAATGTGTTACACGATGCCTCTTTGGGAAGGGACAAGTGTATTTGTAAGTGTTGTATTTATGCGTAATTTGTAGAACGGATGCGGTATAGAGATGAACGGTTGGTTACAAGATCGCCTATAATCACAAATCAGACTAAGCTGTACCTCTATGAACTACAATGAAATCTCACATCTATATAAATATGGACATTGTCGCAGTGACACATTTAATGCCATGGGGATCACCGGTGACCGACATTAGCAGAGGATTTCCCTACAACAGTTTTCTATTGGCAGTCAAAGCCTTAATTCTAAGGATTAGGTGCAAGAAAACACTTCGAGTTCGATCTTTCGCATACAAAAAGCTGTTCATTCGTGAAGTTCATTATTGCGAATATTTACGATGTATTCAGATACCACATACCTATATAATCTAAGTCTAAGGTAAAATCTTTACACACATTCCATTTTCTTCCAATGAATAGGAGGAGAAGCCATCTAAAGATCTTATCTGATGGATGGGCCAGGAACGTCCATTGATCACATTTGATGCGAATACTTGACTTCGTAAGCTGTAGGCGGTTAACTGACAATAGGCCTTAACACTTGGCGCGTCCATTTTATTATTGACAAAGAATATGAGACTTCTGATTGCTTTGCACCTTTGTTCAACAGCTGTTCAATTCTATTTCCGACATATTTAAGTGCCATTATATCTTGCAGCCTTAAGAATAACAAAATAAGTCTTCTTCTTGTCGTACCACTTTAATTCTGAAAGTTGGGCGTCAGGTTTCAGAATTATTCCTTATCATTGGCTAAGCTAATAATACAGAGCCTATGAGTGCCCACTGCTGAGAAAATGCCTCTTCTCACATGGAGAAGATTTGCGCATTATTCACCACACTTGCTCAATTAGGGTTAGCGATTACAAACTTCTAATTAGAAATTACAAGCTTAAGTTTCCTCACGATATTTTCCAGTGGTGTCTAGATAATCTTAGAAAGTCCATATAACTCGGAAAAACTCACAATATTACTTGCCGTTGGTAGGTTTCGAACCCGCAGCCTCATGCATGAGAAGCGGACGTAAACCTTCGGGCCACCACAACAATCTTTAATTATCTGTGAATTATACCCTTTTAACGTAACTGACGGAGTTTTAGATAAAATTAAGACACTATAGAACATCAACAATAAATAGTGAAAAGTGGGTGTTACATTGTACAGTGGTATAATGTGCACCTCTGCCTACCCCTTCGGGGATAAACGGCGTGATGTTATGTTATAGAACATCACGCACAATTCATTTTATAACAAGCATTAATGGCTGATTTACGATCAAGAGAGGATCGTTATAGCCACTTAGGCTTAGACAATCAAGAAACATGGCTAGATAATAATGTGTGTATTCCAACACAACACATAGCAACAATGTAAGACCATACCACATTTAACGAGAAGTCATGAGATTTACCGTGAGAGCTATACGGACGTACATATTATGTCAGACTAATGAGGTACTTCCTTCTTCCTACAATTCCCAACAAAGAACGATACATTATGCATTTTCTTTTCGCACCATTGATATATAACTAATCGATATTTGCATAAACGATAGTATGGTAACGATGGTATCGATTGAATTCTCATACATCGATTGTGTTATGCAAATAAAACAGGATAAACTCGGAAGTAATTACGCGATGGTTATGTAACTCAACCCTGAACCTGTATTGAGGTTGGTCGCGGCCAACGAACGCAGATTGCGTGCGACTAATGTGCGACCGACGTTCTTGATCGTTTTAGATAGGTGGAGCCACGGTATAGTCATTTGAATCTTAATAATCTTTTTTGTCTTGTTAGATTTAGAATTTAATTAAGATTTTAAAAGTGATTAGAAAAAGTAATGTAATATCGGTTAGAACTTTGCTAATTAATAGTTGAATTCTTTAGCAGTAGATACATAACATGAACTATGTGAAAATCAGGGAAGTGTTTTAATAATAAGAAAGCTTTCGCATAACTTCTAAATATTAATATTTTATCTAACATACCAGACTGGCGAATGTCAAATCCAAAAATAATATCTTTACTAACATTTCATCTTGATATTTACAAGAATATTCATGTATATAACTGACGGTTAGTGAACGTCGACCTAAACATCGAAATCTCGGAATCTCCAGCTACCATTCCATAAAGTATAAATACCACGTAACCTATTTAAAAAAGTACTCGTAAATATTTTTAATATTGCAATTAATGTTTACATGACAAAGCAAAACTGAATTAGACTTATAAACGTTAAAACTTTATTTTTATGTCACGTCCATCTTTATTACTTTCTTGGCTTACATTCAAAGATACAGAATAAAACTGTATTCAATTTCATAAGCGGTAACTAAAGTCACGTTCAAATCAATGATGTAAGAATCCATTAGGACTATTTTTAAAAAGAGAACTCAATTTTTTTTTTTATTGGCTCGCGCTAAAATATATTTAAAATTTAAACTGCAGCACTAAATTAAAAATTAAAAGAATTTTAATAATATCAAGATCTAACGAGCGCTGTATAAAATGCATTGCACTGATCTATTCGTCATTTGTACTGTAAATTAAATTATTACGTATATGAAAAGGCTTCAGAGCTGAATTTCAATAGTACGTTGATTAGAAATTGCACTTCAATTAATTGCTGGACTAGGAATGAATGAAACAGTATGAAAGGAGTTCTAAATGGAACATTTTGTATGATGCTTTCACAGTGAGGTCTTGTATGGTGGCCAGCAAGTCACCCTATAATGTTCCGTCAATTTTTATTACATCTTCAATTTTATCGTATTGACATAAAGTCGAAAATCCTATGAATAAATTTGACAGATTGGAGTAGCTTGATCGACTGGCCACTGTACATATTCCAAGTAAATTATGAACACTAACTCCCATATTGATGGGAGAAATTACATTAATATTGCGGTATTCTGTTCTCGTGTAGTTCCAGCATAAAATTATTAATTAGTGCTCAGAATAAGACCCTGATTATGAGAGTTGTGTGAGCAAGTTTCCTGGTAATTAATCTTAGTTTAATTATTTATGGGATATCGTAGAACGGTATCTCAATCAATTTACTCTTCATTTTACAAATCTTTTATTTGCCAGATGCTTTTCCTTTGCGTTTGCATACCTATATCAAATGAAATGAACGATCTATTAAAATAACTACAACCTTACCGCTTACGCTCGAGGCATTTTAAGTTTACGTTAATTAAACTTCAAATAGGATGTCAGTTTAACAGAACTTATATTAACTTGTCCGTTTATGCAATAAACTGTCATAGTAATAAAGAACTCAAACCTGATAGCAAAAAATAACTAAAGACCGCTGTTATTACTATAACATTTTTTGTCCAAAATTTTGTTTGACCAGTATAAAATCACGATTCAATAAACAATAGGATTTCCAACTAAAAGTATGACCAAGAAGTTAACAGAAAATTCCGATAGTTTAACAACCTTCGACTATCGCGATCAGTTACATCACGATGCTGGGATCATGTCAAGATCGCGAACCAAAGATTTGCTCTTATGGTAAACATGTCGTGTGAAGAGAACTGTCCTACAATTGACCTCTTATCCCTCTGTAGCGGAGTGTAACTTTATTTGGACACTGACAGTATTTAATGAACAGGTTTAAAAAGTAACCATAATAAATTGAACTCAATGATCAGTCCATAGTCAATAACGTATCTCAGGAACCAATTCAGCAATAGCCAGGCAACATGCATGAAGGAGATAACAAAAAAACCTTAAGATGGCAGTAGCTATAAAAGATAATTAAGTATCAATAGAGACCTACAAGAATAAGATTAAACCCAACACAAATTACGAAGTAATAAACATTAAACAATAATCTTAAGATAACAAATTAATAAAGAAAACGCACAAACACGTAAAAAACATAAAAAATCAACGCATGACAGGTGAAGCCCATCCCAAAACCGTTGAGACAGTTTAGATCGTTCAACTTGAACGTGACGTCCGGTGCTATTTAGTAGAAAAAATGCTAGTTCGAGGATCTAGCCCGACTCGGTAACCCTCTCCTGAGTCATCTCAACCGCAGTACCCTGTTATCGAATACAAAATCAGTACGGTACTGACGGTCAAAAAGAGCAGTAACTTCACAAAACGATAACATCCGACACAATGGATGTCCGACTCAATCGCGTTCTGCGGCAAGTGTTGTTCATCATGGTGAGGATACAGATACAAAATTCATTAAAAGTGGAACAATTAAAGCAAAGTGAAATTGTAAAGGACACACGGAATCTAACGCAGATAAAGACACTTTTGTTTGAGTACTCAATGAATCCGAAAAGCAAAAGTTAATCACAACGCTGACTAAGTTTACAGAAAGAAGTGAAAGTTACCTACGATTATAAGAGCAAAAATTTGCGAAGTTGTATCAGCAATAAAACATTTCCTTTTGTGAATACAAACGTGAAGGTCAATTGGGAGCAAGCCAGTGTATTATTTAATGTTGTTAATGCAATTATGAGTATTTTCGTACGAGTCTATAAAAAAGAAAGTTTATTACACAATGTTGCTTCGAAAATATTTGTTCCTTTTGTAATTTTGAATAGAATCAGTACGCGGAAACAAGATTAAAATTGGGGTTCGTTATATCTTGTTGTATGTACTTCGCCTTCTTTTTTCATCTGTAGGTTTATGTGCTCGAATTCTGTGTCATTAGAATTAATTATAGGGTCCGCAACAGTAACATAATTAATCAATGTCGGTAAATTAACATTGAGAATTTTAATTGAAGTTTTACTTTCTTTAATTGGACCTTATTAGAAAATAATGCGTAGCAGTAACCAAAACATTATACTTTTAATATTTCGATCAAAAAGAAAGTCAATATTTTTATTTTTCATTTGAATCGTGAGAAAACTTACGAAACTGAATTAAATTAAAGAGGCGTTGAAAATGGATAGGTAACCAATTCGACTGCAATTACATTTAATATTCCACGTCGAATATGAAACTGCCTTGAACGCAATAAAATAAAACTATTGATAACAGTTATCTACTTACTAAAATTGAACTGGCTCCCATTATAGCATTATGTCTTTTGTGTAAGGTAAAAGGAAAATTATTGTAACAAACACGAGCACCAGTTGTGGACACAAAAAGCTCTTTGTTGTGAGTTAGTCTGATGTCAATATATACGGGTTAGTGGGACAGATAAGTGAGTACGTTGATCAACTTATGATGATAGCAATCCAAATTGGATCTCTCAGCAGGTGAACAATGTAATTGTTCGCAGGATGATGCCATCACATGACCGCCTCCGATTACGATAACGATTGCTCTTACCTTATTTACTATTCCACTTTCTTCTACACAAAACTCAGTTTTATAAACAGTGAAACATCCAAAACCGATCTCTTTAAATGCATAAGTTCCGTACCTAACAAGTTTATGTCCAAAATTAAATTAAAGGCGCAAAAAGTAAAACGAAATGGTCTTTTGTGAAAAAAGCTACAAAGGATAATCGTCATTTAACAGGTTTATTAACCTGATCCAGCAACAAACGTGACGAAGTAATCGGCAAATCGCAGGGTACATGACCGTGAAGCATTGTTATGAGTAAGAACCACCGCGCACGAATCACTCCTTTCGTATACCAACACTAAGCTTCAAAATCTCTCGACATAATCCTTGCGTAGCTTAGGAAATACCTCGCGAAACGACGTCTTCCGCAGATCACAAGAAGAATGAGAAATAAATAAGGTATATACGAGCGTTGACACAGAAACCCTCGACGAGACAAACGGGGATGAATGAGATTGTGGTTCGCGATCCGAGACCAACCTCGAGCGATTTCCCATCATTGTTGCGATAACTAATGACAAGTCGGATAAATTGACGCACTTTCAACGGATACATAAATCGCTACACTGCATTCTTATATTACTTGCGAAAATAGCTTCATTGACAAATAGAAATGGCATTCCTTTGATCATTGTTCTGGCTTTATAATGGTTGGAGATTCATAAATCAACTTTTTCTTTGGTTTCAGACGGTGCCCCTACCCGCCGGGTCGACTTCAGTGTTGGCGAAGCCGACAAAGTACCACTACTATCCACACAATCAGCACATCTATTTATTGCCTGAATGCGCTATTCAACAGGTAATTGACACTTTTGTTCTAAACAAAGTACCGGAACTGAAATAAACGAAATGCTTACAAACACTATGACTAATCGATAGGTCTGCCGCGTCCAGTAATTGAAGCTGCAAAGCTCTTTTAAAACCTGAGCGAAGATAATACCAAAAGATTTCTTAACTTCTTCGTATTTTCCACGCTCAACATCTATAGACGCGGAGCGAATGTGTTTTTGTTCTAAATATAGTGCAATGTCAGAGACCGTTACTACTAACAAAATATTACATCAAATATTTAATACCGGAACAAAGTTAACTATTCAAAGCGAAACCCTTTCTACGAAAGCTAGGTTTCCAGAAATGGCTTGGCTATTAACTATTAATGATGCGATTCTGGAAAGTCTGTTTTTTTAACGGGCAAGACAACATAAGTCATGAGATGAATGAATATAATATCAATAGTGAAGAATCTAACCCACATGTGTGGAACGGGGAACGATTGCAATGTTCAGTATGTTGGTTCGTTAGCTTCATAAGGCGGTAACGTTACAGGTATGCAATGCAGTGTACGTGCGTCTGAACTACACGCAGCCGCTGTGCGCGTGCCCTGCTCGGTACAGAGACCCGTGCTCCGCGAGCCTCAACGCCGACGACCTGCATACTACGCGCCTCACCACCGACTCGAAAAAAAAGGTAACGCTCCAACATAATTGGATTTATTATTCCCATAGTTACTTTTTGTAGCAAAGTTGCCATGTTTGTTGCAATAGAAAATGGTTTTGTTTAATCCAATTCTTCTAGCAATGGTACTCGTCAAGTAGGTAATGTATACAAGAATGTTCTACAAATATTTATATCACAGGATTGCGTGCAAGCTCTAATTTAAAAATACCATTTTAATTTGCATACATATGATTAAGTCATTATTCCGATTATCATCTTGTAGATTTATTATTCAAAGTTAAGACATTCGTTAATGCAGAAATAGGCATGCAATGTAGACCAATAAATTTATTAACCTGTCTGGTCATGTTAGCGATAACGTACTAATATAAGCTCCACTTTTATTACAGTTCGCTAGTAAAGCTGTTACACTAGTAAAGACGTGCGAGGCGGTGTCTGAGATGAGAGAGTGCCGGGCGCCTAGAGACTGGTCGCTACTAGCACTACAAAACATCAGAACCGGCAAATCACACTACTTGGTTATCTGTCGGTGTCCCGAAGACCACATATTAGGTAAGCTATGCATTTCTTACTACAATAATACTAAATACACTCAGAATGCGCAAAATTCCCAACGAGGTACAACTATTTATAGTAATTTCCTTTTTGATAACCTTACTAAGGCTTTTGATAAAGCTAGCTTACGACTAAGTTGGCGTTATGCAATGTAAGTTTATACTTTACTCGCGGTTAAGTGTGGGCTGAATAGACATTCCGTGTTTAAATGCATTTGCTAAGACTTTTTAATCATTGTCACGTCAGAAATATCTACCATTAGATTTCCGCATGGAGTGCCGCAAGGGACAATCTTAGGGTACATACCTAACTGAGAAGTGCATTGTCCATTATATTTGGTGAAGAATTCGTATTATCAGATACAGTTACCTACATGGTTGTGGCTACGATGTAAGGGATCTTGTATACCATGTTTGTTGACACTTCTAGTATTGTATGCAGTACGTTATTGTATTGTAAAGTGGCTACTATTTAGCCAAATAAGTATTATAGCGAGTTATGGATAAACGCACGCATTAAAAGTGTTTAAGAGAAGACTTTGTTAAGCGTAACTTTACACAAGTCATGTTAACCTTTTCGAGCTATTAAACCTGTCTACAAGATTATTTATAGTAATCTTGGCAATGTTTTATGTTACAGAAGGACCCATGTCACATGATCAGCCAACATATGCGTCTGTGCCAGGCATCAGAGTGTATGGAATGATGTGTGTGCGACCTACGACTGCTTACCATTCTGGTCAGTACTATATTAACTAATTTAATCAATAGCTATTATCCTGTTCCTGTTAGGACTCCATACTAATGATATTTTTCTCATTCCAGCATACCACAAGAACAGATACACCGGCTTAACCGTTCAGAGTACCACGAGCGCCTACAAAGTGGACTATTCGCAATCACATGGGTATCCCGACAAGCCAGTGTACAACAGATATCACACACACAGCTATACAGAACCTTACTACAACCGGAGATCTCGAGTCGCAAGGACTAGACGATCGCCATCAGAATACCCCCCATTCCCATGGTACAAAGTTATGGAACTAGCGAGGTCATTACATTGGATCAACTAGAAACTAACCTCCTTTAAATTTAGAATAAAAAAGTTTGTTGGCTTCATAGAGGCTTTATATTAATCGGTTCCGCCTCTTTGAATTCAACTTATACTTGAAACATATTTAATTTCGAAACGCTTTTTCGCTTATTTATCCGAATTTTAGTTAATACTTGCTTACTAACTTTCCCATTCTAAACGTGATGGTTTAGTGTGGTGAAATTTAATTTTGGATGCCTATGGAATACTCAGTACAACTGCATTTACTAGGATAATGAACAATAATTTAATTTATTGAATTAAAATAGTGAAGCTGTTTTGTAAATGGTGGGAATGTTGTTAGCCATTACACGCTGCTAGGTACCTCAAAATTTAGCTTTTTACACTATATATTCCCATATTACGCACTCAATTGCCATGTTTAATATCAGAATCAATGTTTAAGTGAATGTAAATACAAATTCTTTAGAGGAAAAGTGGTACGTTTGTGGAAAAAATATGCAGCAAAGCAGCGCGTCGGTACATTTAAATGAATACCGTAAGCCCGATCACCGTTAATCAATACTGGCTGGATTAAAACGTCATAAAACCCGAATGCCACTAAAAACTTAAATTAGTTTTCACAAAAACATTTTAGAACAATTCTGTTTCACAAGTAAATTATTTGTATTATTTATTTTATGTATCTATTAACTTTCGGTGTAATTTAACGTAATAAAATTGCCAGAAATAGAAATAACCATGACTATTAGTTTTTAAGAATTGGATTATTATAATTTCAAAATAAAATAATTATTTTCTCCCCACCTGTAGACGGTGATTACATAATAAATTATAATTAAAAGGTATTTTTTATTGTACACAAAAGATATGTGATAAGTTTTCAATGATTTTTTTTTTTGTGTAACATTTCAGTGCATTTATAGTTAATGTTTAGTTTTAATTTTAATAAATATTTATTTAAGAACCATATTTATACTTAGAGTAAAATGAATTGTAAATATTAGATGTAGAAATTACAATATTTGTAATTATGGAAAAATAAATTTAACGGATTTTTCATACTGTTTCTCTCACCTGCCATATCTGTTTAAATATGTTTATTCGAGTTAGAACGTTGTATCCCTGTAATAAAGTGTAGATTACCATATCATAAGGAGAATAAGGACTTACCTAATACTTTCTGGTCGACGACGATGTCGCAGGTGTACATCGCTGCCATCAGACGCTGAGGTTGTGCTTGGAAAGCTTTTCTACAGGCGTCTCTGACTGTTGACATGATTTGACCTGCATAGTAACATAATTATTTAAAATACTCATTTTACTATTCACTATGTAACTTTTAGGATTTATAAAATAATTATTGCATAATTACATGGACTCGTAACATAAAATAGTGAAAAGTGGGTGTTACATTGTACAGTGGCATTAAGTACCGTAATGTACACCTCTGCCTACCCCTTCGGGGATAAAAGACGTGAAGAAAGAAGAAGTATTGGATAACTATATTAACTTTGAAGCCTTGAAACGACACATTACGTTACATTCATGTCGTGTAATAGTGGGTTGATTGACAATACACCAGATACAATTCAATTCAATTTGACTGACCCGAGAATCGATCCCGAGTCCCACACAACAGTCAAGTAAAAAAAGTATGTAACATTTGAACAGAATAGATGTATCTGTACATAAATTATTTGATTTCTAATACATAACATCACGCCTTTTATCTCCGAATGGGTAGGTAGAGGTGCACATTATGCTACTGTACAATGTAACACCCACTTTTCACTATTTATGTTATGAGTCCCTTGTAGGAGTGATTTCTAAATGTTTGACATACCTGACAAAGGTCCAAAATGTGCCATATCATCTCCAGCGGACTTATCCAAAGACCATTCTTCAACACAGAACGCAACTCCCATCATTGGCTCATCACACAAGGGCCCAGCCAAGGAAGCCAACTGGAACCCATTCACAAAACTACTCTCATACTCAAACCTCGGATCCTCCTTTATCTCCTGCTCATGATGAAGATACTTCGTCCTATAATCTGAAGTCTGATTGAGAAGCAAATTTGGCCCACAATTCCTAGGGCCTACAGACCATATTTCTTTAACCACATCCTTCCATTCAGGACTTAGTTTATCACATATACCCTGCAATTCCTCTTTAAAAGTCTGAATAAGTTTCAACATACGATCGGACAGTTTATGCTTCGTTCCATTAACTTGTAAATTTTCTAATTTAGTTTCTAAGCTATCATTTTTGTGTAATCCTTGCAACGTTTTTATGTGTTGAGAAATTGCTTTGAGTAAATCAGTTGATCTGTCTAGTAAAGCCGTTATTTCATTCGGTATTGGTTTCGCTCTAATCTTTATCCTACTTTGTTTGTTATTTGTGTACACCGTTATAACTGGGTCTACGTCTTTATCCGTGGTCTTATCTATAACGTTTTGGGCGTCAATTTCTTCGTTCGCCATGTCTATTTTTGGTGGTTCTACTATTGTTTCTCTGAATGGAACGATTGGTTCTGATGCTGTGATTGGTATTTTTGCGTATTGGTTCCTAAAAGAAGAAAAATAGATTAAAATCATATGAGAACATATTATAACACCGCATTATAATATGTTTTCCACACTTTTATTCTTCAATGAGGTTGCTAGTGCAGAATTTCTATAGCACACTCATTTTTGCTATTTCAATTAGGAGTCTTATATTATAAAAAATCACGATAATTTATAATAGTGGGGCATCCTTTCATTTGACATAAATACCATTTATTTAACTCAGGTAAACACTATTAGATATAAAAAAAACGTTTAAAAATAGGGACTTACTTTAAATCTTCTAGACATCTTTCTAAATGTATTTTACCAGCCGTGACCAGCACGTGTTCACCTGTCTCCTGTAGTAACACTTGAACACAGGAATCTGCTTGGTTAAGAAGTTTTAAACCTGAAACAAAGACAGTATTCATTGTATTGAAGTAATCACAGCGAAATGTGATTAAACGAAATAGATCTTACTTCCAATATCATAAAGTTCATTCTTACATAAAAACACATACATAAAGCCCTTTCTAGTGAGTATTTCATTTTTGAAAAGTTTATGTTAACATTCATTTTGTTACAAGAACACTAGTCACTCATAGACTTTATTATGAGTTCGAAAAATCATCCAATTGCTTCTCGTCCAGGTGAAGCGAGAGGGAGAATCAGAGTCTTACTGGATAAAAACCCCCCCGTTCCTACTCCTGCATTTCGAGCCGGAGCCCCGGCAAGACGGTAAGTCCTCCGCGGACCTCCGCGGCTCCGTATCGGCATCAGCCCTATTGGGCCCCATATGTGGTGGACCCCTAAAGACTTGGAACTTTATTTCTGATGTATTGAAAATACCGATCTAAAATAAAAATTTTACCAGATGTGGCAATGGAACCTGTAAAGCTACGCTTCATACGCCCGAATGCGGAAAGGCTACTCATTTTAAAGTAGTACTTAAATATCGTGCTATCTCTGTCATTTTACAAAGAATTTGTAGAGACAGAACTATATTTAAGCGTGACTTTAAATTGAGTGTCGTTTGAGTATTAAGTACAGTGTTAGTCGCTTTCTTTTATAATACATTAGCTTCTGCCCGCGACTTCATACGCGCAATCCCGTTTCTTCCATTCCCGTAGTATTATCAGGATTTTTCTGTCATAAGAACATTCTCCTGACGATAACAAACACAACAAAATAAAAATCAGCCAAATCGGTCTAGCCGTTCTCAAGTTATGGCGTGACAACGGGAAATGGGTTTAATTTTTATACATATAGATAATCAAGACAGACTATGTTGACTAAAAAGTTTTAACTAGAATTACCACTCGACCAAATACTTATTTACTTATACATGTATATAATGTTTAAATTAGAGATCAATAAACAAATTTCGTACCTTTAACCAATTGAGGTAGTTGTGATGGATAAGTAGGTTCTAAAGCAACCCTTAATATCGGTACTACTGAGTATTGCATCTCACTAAATGCTGGACAAGCTATCGTACTAGATAATGTCGCCGTTCGAAGTACGTGGTCCTCTAAACCGCCAATACCTGGAAAAAAAATAGGTAAACAGAACTTTATTTATATATTCTGTACGGGGTTTTTTTATGGGACAAGACAAGCAAGACAACCTCCCAAAACCGCTGTAACTCCTGTAAGCCAGGATCTACAGTAGATACAACCATGAAAACACCGGAACACTGAAGTCCAGCGCGTCCCAGGGACTGTACGGGTTATAAAACTTCGTCCGCGTAGAATATGATTCCTGTGTTGTGTGTGCCATGGGATAATATAATCGGTATAACAAGTATCCTACCGCCTAGGTCAGCCCATGTATCAAATTTCATAAAAATTGACGGACAAATATCCAAACACCCAAACAAAGAAACTTTCACATTTATAATATTAGTGTGATTATTTGATATACGATAAAAAACCGAGTAACGCTTCAGCCTGCCTGAGAACCAATCGTGACGGTCTTCGTGCTCGAGGACTTGAGAGTCACAACCTTCACTACTATAATAATTTAGTTATTCAGAACACATACCTAGTATATCTACTTCAGTGCAAGGCAATCACAGATTTAAAGAATACGTAAATAAGAGAAACTTTTTCGTCATACTGATGTAAAGCAATTTATTCTATTCAATGCTACCATTGAATAGTTTTGACTGCCTCGTGTGCGGTGTAGTCGAAAGTGCGACTGCCGGGCAAGGTGGCATTAAGTGCCGTAATATGGAACTCTGCTTACCTCTTAGGGGATAAAATAATTGATGTTATGTTATGTGAATAGTTTGCTTTTCAACAAAAATCTGCTCTAAAGAATTAGAATAAAATAACTTACCAATAATATTCCCAGCAATTGCTTCATCTATCATTTCTAATTCTCGTCCCATTAGAATATAAAGGGATTTGATTCTGAAAAAAGAAATTACCATTATATTAGCTTCCTAAGAAATTTGAAGGATTTTTTCTAAGGATTATCCCAATAATTTGCAAAAGAAAATTATCAAATTCATCCAACAGTTAAATAAATGAAATGCAATAAAATATGCAACTAGCTTCACTGACAGACAGACTGACTGACAGACAACTAAAATTTTGACGTTTCAAAAGTACCAGGGCATTGACTTTGAATTTAATATCACAAAAGTAATAAATTTTACTCACTCAGTGCAAGTGATATGCTCATCACTCTGCAAGTCTTTAAGTTTCTTATTAGGATCTACTTGGAAGTCTTTACTAAGTACTTTGGCGGGGTCATGTTTAGGGCCAAGGACATAAACCTTGTCCCCTTTCTTTACTTTCCCACTAAATATTCTAGCAAATGCGATGAATACTGGCTGATCTTCTTCACTGGTCTTTTCTACATCATCTTCTTTTTTATCTTCTTCTAAAGGAGCAACTTCAACAGTATTGTTCTCTTTCTTTTCTCGTAGCTGTCTCGCTCTCTCCCTCCTCAAAGCCATCTCCTCAGCCGTCAAGACCTTTGGCTTATTCTCCGGCAATATACTCTTATCAACATTATACATTTTAGATATAAAAATAATTATTGGTCTATCTTCACTACTATCACAGGCTAAAAAGTCTTCCTTTAATTTCTGTGTTTCAGGGAAAAAGGAATTGAAATCACGTATTCTTGAGCACATTAATTTTTCTACCTTTTCTGGTAGAATTTCTTTTGGCGATGGGAGTTTTTCGCAAACCATGTTAAGTACTGTGCTTGATAGAGGGAGCCACTGGACCATTAGGGACTGAAGTTGTACTCTGGAGTCAGTATGTCTCAAATCCCTTGTAGTTAATTTTATGCCAAGTTTTTCACATATAACTGGGACCTTTTCCTTTTCATTTCTCATTGCTACAGTTTCGTACACATTCCACAGATTATCTAATATGACTTGGACAAAAAGAGGTTTTTAGCTTTTTCTTGAGCTCCCTTCATGAAGCGTTTTGTTTTGGTATTCAAATAGAAATCTCCCCATAACACTTTTCTTAAGATTTCTTCTTTAACACCTGAAATGGGACAAGATGAATATGATAAACAATAAAAAAATATTTAGCAGTTTACAACGTCAGGTGTCCCTTGAATTCAAGAGTAGTTCGTGACACAATCGGTTTTCCTTGCAACAATAATTATTGCTTATAAAAAATATTTTCTCGCATACACTGAAAATAAAAAGATTTCAAATTAAGTAAAATCGCATGAGCTGCGCGCGCGGTCGCGGCGACGTAGGAAGAACCCCTCTGTGGCTCGAAACTAGTAGAGCTTTTCTCAGTATATTCACGTGAGTAACCCGCGATTTTACGTAATTTAGTATGTCTCACGATAGTTATTATAAAAACAGATTTCAAATTAATAGGAAGTAATATGAATGAAAAATGTTCCACTTACCAAGTTTCTCAGAGAATAATTTAGCAAAAGTATGTATAGTAAAACCCCAGCCATCAGCGGCACTAGCGAATACCACATTGCCGTGTTCAGGAGCAAAATAAAGATTGGAGTCATCAGCATCATCCAGAGCGGAGGTCCAATCATAGAAGTTATTGTCTTCTTTTTTCTCTACTTTTTCTTTTTGTTGCTGAAAAAATATAATATTGTTTTTATATTAGTTATTAAGGTGGCAGCGAGCCACTGGATGAAGGTTGCTTCCAATCCGCCTATCTAGAAGTCAAAAGAATTAGAGGTGGGGAATAATAATAATTATGGGCATCATTACTCAATACCTAAGCAAAAGCACTATGGATGTATAAAATTTGTAAAGGGACAATTTGTTTTACTATTCATTTGTGGGACCTGAACTCATATATGTCCGATTATAAAAAATTCCACAATATTTTTCATACAAAAGTAGTCTCAAAACATCGGAAATAAGGTCTATAATGGTGTAAGTAGAATGTGGTCACCAGTGACTGCTTGGATCTTGACCAGTTAAATAACTATGAAAAATATTTACCTCTTTCTCCATAGTAGACTCCTCATTCTCAAACACCTCAGTAGTGAACAGTTCTCCCATAACCGCGTTAACTTGTTCTAATACCTGCATCAAGTGCACATACGCATCCAATGGTGTTAGTTGCATCTCTAGGATGAGCCTGTCAATTTTGTTCAAGACTAACACTGCTCTGATGTTCTCTGAGTATGCTTGTTTCAGTACCAGCCTGGTTTGTGGGCAAACACCTTCTACCACATCCACCTGGAATATAGAGAACAGAAATGGTTGATTTTGATTTTAAATGATGTCAAAACTCAATTCTAAGTCTTTGGATTAAGGTTTATTTTAACCATTCGCTATATGGAGTGCCTGTCAAAAATTAAGATTAATTCATACATTTTGGATTAAGTTTGTTTATTAATTTCAGCCCCTAGTGGATTGAGAGATTGTCATACTTGGGTAACTAGTAATCACATTCACTGTTATCAGTTGCATAATATTTTTTACGAAAAAAAGAAGTTATTATAAATATTGTGAAACCCTTTATCAGCTGTTGAGTAAGCATAGAAATATAATTTAAGTCACTTAATACAAAGAATTAAATGGCTATTCTAATATTACTCTAATATCTCTATAATGAGAAACTGATGATTGACTTTTGTTTTTGTTTGGAGTTTAAAAAAAATAAATATAATTTACTATCCTTACAGAGATAACTGTCAACATAAATTAATATATTATAATAATTACTGTACTTAAGGTTCACTTTTCTATAAATAAAATCAAAAAATACTAATAAAAAAATAATTGTTTACTCACAACAACAATAGCTCCATCACAAAGTCTGACTGCGGTAGACACTTCACTGGAGAAATCGATATGTCCTGGTGAATCTATCAGGTTTACCAAGTACTCCTGCTGGTCCACACAATGGTACAAGGCTATGCTGCTACTCTTCATGGTTATACCTCTCTCCTGCTCATCAGGCCTGCTGTCCATATACCGCAGCTTTCCTGACATTCGCTGCGATATTATCCCATTGCTGGCTACAAGAGAGTCTGCTAAAGTTGTTTTCCCATGGTCCACGTGCGCCACAATACAAATATTTCGAATATTTGTAGGTTTGTTTTGAAGTTCTAAAAGTTTTGAAGAATCAACGAGCCGCATTGTGAAACAGATCACTTAACTTTTTCGACGTACTTGCAACACAATGTCCTTAAAGTATACTGATAATTTAGAAGGTGAATAACTCAGAAGATATTGCAAAAATTACAAGAAAAATTGCACAACATGGGTTAAAAACTTGCACGACAATATTGAATTTGATAATGACACTGACATTTTAGTTCAGAAACATTACACCATTTTGCTTTTGTTGATCTCAGTAAAACGAAGTTCATTTTGATTTAACAACTTCTTAAGAATTTATTAAAACTCAGTCATTATGTTTAAAATAAATTGTTTAAATAAAACGGCACTTCCAATAACTGTAAATGTTACAATTATTTCTAAACGGACAGACCAAATCGACACTGACAGTTCTTTTGACAGTGACATTTTAATTGGAAGTAGAGATTTTGGTTGGAGGTTATATTGTTTATTGGTTTTAGAAATAATTGAATAAAAATAAATGAAATGGCGTTAAATAGATTGTTTGCTAGTTTAGCCATTACTCCTAATTTAATTTCGAGGCGGGCCATACATGTAGCTGCCGTAAACTTTGCCAGTCACCCGGATATTGACAAACCTAAACCTGGTTTGGGCAAAAGTTACAGGCGTATTGTGCATTTTCCTGAGCAATATACTGTTAAACCACTTGAAGTTACAAACCTAGCTGGTAGAGACCCAGTGTCTGGTAAGTTACATCATTATTTACATTACATTAACCTTTTGAGCGCCAGGGTCACAAATACGTGACAAGCGAAAACTGTCCCTGAGCGCCAACGACACAAATATGTGACAAAAACAGCGGTACATTAAAACACGAAATAAACTATTTAAACATTACTTTAATGCCTATTTATTTATATACCTGTAAAATAGAAGGTCCAAAATTTATTTATTTCCATAAAACTAATTAAATTGCATTATAAATATTGAGAAATTTTACGTTAAAAAGAAAGAAATAAACTCTGAAAAAAGAATGTCCTCACACGCCAGAGTCATAACTGCGTGACCGCTAGTGATGTAGCGCATGTTGGATAATATCATTATTTCAAATCAAAGATCGATTCGAAACTTTCCTCTGGAATATATTATTTTAGGTATAATTTGGTACTAGGATAAAGCAGCATTAATTTTATAAAACCAGTCTTAAAAATCATTCAATAAGCTACATAGTCAAAAATAAAATTTGGTTGGGTCGAATTTCGATATTCACTAATCCCAACTCAAGCGCATCCCTAACGCAACCCGAATTATCAGTACCCTGTACGCCATGGTCACGACTAGACGACAATATCGTGACGTCACAAGCGCGGCGACCAGAAATTAGTGAAGTGAATGAATAATATTTATGATTAATTTACTTGTGATATCGAGTTCAAGATTTATATTAAGTGACTATTATAATGAGTGGGAATTTAATGACTACGGAAGAACTTCTTCGCATATTAGATGTGATTGGTAATTGTGATAATTATATATAATCGTTAATTGTTTTAATTTGTTACTTTTTATGCCAGGTTTATAGAACTTAATATTTAAAAACATGTATACATAGTACATACTGTATAACATTTTATTAAAATTTTCTATTTTTTCATAGTTTTTATTTACCTTCTTAACCTATTTCAATCATATATTTTTAAGTACCTGTTACATTCGGAATTATAAATCTGATTTAAAAAACGTGTTTCATTTATTATAAAATAATATTGTACTAGAACATCGATAAACGACATATTACGTTGCCACATCCTTATTTCGGAAGCGAAGTAGTTATTAAAATGGCGGGCCGTCCACGCCATGGTCACAATATGAAGACAGCAGATCAAGAATAGTGTTGTACCTACAGTTATTATATTTAAATATATTGTAGTCTCATATCTGTTATTACGGTATTATACAAGTCTGTAAATAGTGTATAACTATTACTTTAATAGGAAGAAATGTAATGTTGAATTAAATTTCAATGTTATAAGGACATTATATTTCGAAATTAAAGACGAAAATGAAAATAAAATTGATTATCGATGAAGTTTTGGAATCCCTATTTTTTTCGTAGGTATTTGCGGTGAATTTGTGGCCTGGCGTTGAGGGCAAGTTCATGCGTTTTTGCTCTGGCGTTCAAAAGGTTAACCAGTTCCTAGCAGTCACTCAGTTGACTTTGCAGTATAAATGATTTTACTTCTTCAGGCAGGGTTATTGCAAAGGGTATTGGAGGTGGTATCAAACATAAATATCATTGGATCGATTGGCTCAGAGATGGACCTAAAGAGGGACCTCCACAGGAAGAAAAAGTCATTCAGGTCAGGAAAAGAAAATATTCTCTTTACACTAGAAAATCTTCAACATTTCATTCTGAATATAAAATATTTTTTTTTATATATATTAAATAGGTAATGGAAGATGGTTGTAGAACAGCACACATAGCCTTAGTGGCTGTTGGTGATAAACTCAAATATATTCTAGCCACAGAGAATATGAAGGCAGGTGACATCATCAAGTCTTCCCGAGAACTCCCTAGAAATCCAGGTACAAAATAAACTGCATTCTAAATCAGAAGTGATAAGTTCTGAATTCAATGTAATTAAAACTGTAATTTTTATTTTGTTTTCAGTCAGAGCAAATGAAGGAGATGCCTATGTATTGGGAGCATTACCTAATGGAACTGTTGTTCATAATATTGAAAAAGTACCTGGTGAGTGAAAAAGAATATAATACTTACATATATATTTGCCCCATCATAAAGTCGATTGAAATGCTATTTACCTATACCTATATAATTAATTATTCTGCGCTAACTGATCCGGTAATCTTCATTCTGTCTAAAATAATTTTTCACACCTTGTAAACCTTCCTTGGACTTCCACAAACTTTTCAATACCAAAACAAGCCAAATTGGTGCAGCCGTTCTCAAGTTTCATCGAAACTAACAAATGGAGATTCAGTTTTATGTATACATATATTTATTAACAAGCACAACACCTTTTCTAGCAAGAGATAAGTGTAATTTGATGGTTATAAAAATGGTCAGACTCTTTTTAGTAAAGAAATTCTAAATGTGTTGTGGAAATTAAAACGATTGGAACTACTGGAGGACCTCACTGTCCTTTGTCCTTTGTAGCTCTTAAGATAATAACAATATTTATGTTTACAGGTGAAGGTGCCCTGTACATACATGCCGCTGGTACATTCGGCACTATTCTGAGGAGACAAGATGATCGCATCATTGTTCAAATGCCTTCAAAGAGACTGTTTAGTTTCGACCCACATTGTATGGCAGTTGTAGGTGAGTAACCATTCATTTACACTACAAAGTTCTTAGTCAGCCTGTTTTCATACCAACGCAATGTTATCATTAACTTCCCTTTTGTAAATACCTTTGTAATCCTACTTATTATACCTTTAACCCTTTGAGTACCGTCATTATAGACACAATTAAAGAACAATAGGTGTGCGGACACTAGTGTCCACCACACGGTGTTTGACAGTTTAAAGTAATCAAATCAATAGATATCATTTAGTAAGGCAATGCAATGCAAGTGTTACTAAAAATTTGTATCAAAAACCTATGACCATACAAAAATACTTCACTTCCAGGTCGTCTTTCAAACATAGACCATGGAGACACACCTATCGGTTCACCTCAACGCAATAGATGGCTCGGTAACAGACCTCGCTCCGGTCTATGGCAAAGAAAAACCGGTCGCCACGGAAGAAAGATCAAACCTCCAAAACCAGTGAAAGAGATCTGTGCCCCACCGAAAAAGGCCTTACCAACTATCACCTTGTCTATGCACCCTTAACATAATTATGTAGAAATAAATGTAATTTAGATGTTTTCAAAACTGTTTTATTTTATAAATTCACCTATAGATAAATATCACAACATATAAAGCTGCGCTTTTGTGCTATATTTGAATGTATAGTTCATTTATACATATATTATCTACTAATAATTATAATTTTGACACAATGAAGCTTGCTCAGAATCTTAATACTTCCATTTAAATGCATAATTAATTCAGCACAAAAAGAGATTTTAAATACAAACATTAATATCTTGGAATTACATTAATTTAATCTTCATCTTCATCCGATAATGTCAGTATCTGAAATTAATTAATTAAGTTCTTATTTCATTGACATAAAGCAGATTTTAGGAAATACAACCTTATGTACATTTTTCAATTCAAATTGCATAAACTTATGAAGCAAAAAATTTCTTTAAAGCTTTCCTATCACCTTATAGTACCTAACTCATCTAATAAACAAAGCGAAAATCATTCTAATTCAATGCAACTTAAGAAACAAAACTGTTTGATAGCAGAAGCTCATCTAAACAACTTACATCAGTCATCTCCGCAGACAAATGCAGCTCATTCAAGCCGGTAACTTCTTCCAAATAGTTACCACTATTGAATACATCCAGTAGGAATGTTATACCTTCATCTTTGTACTTGTTTATCACTGTTTCAGAGCATGCTATGCACTGTTTGAACTTGGCACATGTTGGTGCAACAGTTTGGTATGAATGGAGAAATCCTCTAATGGAATGAGGTATTGGACCAAGGACTCCTTGCATCTCTGGCGGTACGTCTTCCGTGTCGCTGTTCAGATTGTACACTGCTGGAGCGTTTATTCTGGAAATTTATATATATAATATTAAGACTCCAAGTGTATGATAACGCTTATGTTAGTATTTTCTCTAAAACTCCTGATTCAATTTAACAAATAATGGTTGTATATTTAGTAAATAATTCTTGTAGATGTAATTCGCCAGAATGTAGATGGACCATTAGGTTTCCCAGTCCCTTTTAGAAGCTAGAACTAAGAGCTATAAACTTTTTACCTTGGCTACCGAGTGGATTATTCAAAGGTTCAAATACGGTATTTACCTCAGAGGATGTTGTAATAAACCGACTAGAATCTCTACAGCCAGAGCGCCAGCTATCGCGGCCACGCCAGGGCGAGTCACCGTGCATTGTTGGTCTAATGTGCGATCTTTTAAAGACTGGAAATAAGAGAAGAACATTCTGGTCGTATTTCACAGGAGACTCAACCTTAATTAATTTATATAACGTCTAAAATCTATTGAAGAAACGCTACTTTATTTGTACTCTTGATAGTACGGTACAGAATTAAAAGTAACAGCGTGTAATTATATTTTTACTATGATATTAATTAACCCACAAAACAGAAGTACGTCTAACAGCTCATTTTTTCTAGCAAATCAAAATAAGTCACTCACATTGCCAGGAGCAGTGACGTCATTACAGAAGTAACACCCAAGACTGTTTCCAGGTATGAAAGCGGTGCCAACAGATGGTGATTCTTCTGGAGGTGAACCAACTATACCATGCCGCATAACTAGGTAGCTGTCGAATCCTAGAGCCGCGTTGATGACTATCTGAAAAGGGAATATAATGATAAATTAATATTTTATTTGTCTACCCAAATTAACCGCACCGCACGGGACTGCAGAGGACAGCGGGCCTTGTGCACCAAGTGACGCTTGCACCAGACTAGAATAATAAAGAGAACAACTAAGAAGAAAACAAATTAATCTGTCAAACACCAAGCGATCACCGGTGACCGCAACCTATTGTTCTTTAATTGTGTCTATAAAACCGGTACCCGACGAGTTAAACAATGAGTAAGTAGCATCACGGCTATATGGTGATAGCAAAATAAAATACTTCCATTTTAGTCACTACCGCTACCCTCTCTGTAGGTCTCACCTGTCAAATGTGGAGATTATGCTAAACCCCGAACGGTATCCACTACTGGAAAAATATATTCTGTTCAATCATTATCATACGGTTTCTATATTTATGTTAAAAACAATACCTTTCCATGATGAGCAGCTAAAAGCGTAGGTAGCCACCGTGCCTCTCTAGTATCCAACAAAAGGAATATAACATCATGTTCGGCTATAGCTTCTGTAATTATTTTGATATTGTTTATTGTCTCTTCCTTCAAAGACTCGCCTACTGGATGCCCAGGCATTGGTATGTGAGCTGCTATGCCTTTGCTCACCTAGAAATAAAGTTATTAATTACCAATATTAGTATGGTGTGTAGTAATAAACATTAGGTACTTAGGTATAAAATAATTCAACAATGTATAAGCTATCCTTTTAGTCTTATGTCGACTAGTTTCGACCTACACCGGGGCTCATAAACAGGATCTTTTACTAAAAACGAATTCGTTACCTAATTAATTTGTAAATGTAAATTCACTTGATATACTTACAGCAGTTGGCAGTATATTTTTCAGGCCATCAGCGGCCGCCTCAGCTTTCTTTTTTCCACCATTTAAGCAGTCTTGGAAACTGAATAATACCTGTCGCGTTGGGTTAGAATAAGATACCTTTCCATTGTCTATAAACGTTATGTGACGAAATCCCCAGGCCTGAAAGCAAAATATCATCATTGAAAGGTACTTACACAGAGAAAGTTAGAGTGAGAGCATAATAGTCTTTTTCCCTAAAATATAAGGCGATATTTGAATGTCTGTCTAAAAAGGTAGCATATTATTTACCAATAAATCCCGAGCAACATGACAGCCAAGAGTGCCCGCACCCAGTAACAAACATTTTGTGCTTTTCATTACATCAACATCTATATCTGGCACTAAACGCCATTTCATCAGTTTTATATTCAGATCTGAAGCTGTGTCAGCCAATCTGAAAACAATAATAATACAATTCGTAATACAATATTGAAGATGAAGAGATTCTTACAACGGCAAAAGTAAAGACTTTTAAAACTTACATCACAGGATCTAAAGAAGAGGACATATTGGCAAGCTTAGGTCCAAAATTCCCTTTATCATTCCTTTCCCATCCCACCCAACCAGCAGCATCAACAGCCTTAACATCCTAAGAAAATTAAAAAAATATATTTATTATAGCACAAGAATCTGTATAAAATAAAAACTAAAAATTTCCAAACTGACCTTAGGTACCACGACAGTAAACGAATGACTGTTTTCTACACCACCAGTTGCACTACATCTCAGACCTATGACTTTAATCTCAGACCCAACTAAACTCGGACAATGTTCCAACAGAGCCGCCAAGAACAGTCTTAATGGCCATCCAGGATTATCTCCACTACTCGGATCATTAAAAACAAAATAGGTACTAGATACATCAACATCTTTTTGTAAACCTTCCTTCGTATCTAACAGATCTGACAAAGTTTTCAATTGTAATGTATCATTGTTCTTAACAATAGCGAAGAAGCATTTTGTTCCAATTCTAGAGATTTGTAGCTCTGTGTAATTTGAGCTATTTGGTTGGTATCAAACTGTGTTGTTATGTTGGCACTCTTGTTCTTTACATAAACTGTGGGCTGACTAGGAGCGGGAAATGCAAACCAGTAATAGTAATGAAATTTTTTAAGATCCTGGAAAGTAAATAAATACATTAATTAAATAACGAAAAAGCTTGCATTTATTCATATTTAGTAATCCGAACGACATAAAAAAAAATATTATGCATGTATATTCAGAATCATTGAATTTTTATCCATCGAATCAAATGATGTATAAGATAGATTGTATCTAATTCAACATTGCAAAAAAATGTTGCTTAGATCAATTAGCCTTTCAACCACAGAAATGATTGAATGCAATATGAATAGTAAACTTACAGCAAAAGACAATATGATGAACTTCAATAAACTACTAGGCTTAGAAATCCATGATTTGTCTTGAAGACTAGCCCATAGTTCTTTTCCGACTGAGTTTAATAGAGCAGCCTTATCAATAGATTTGAACTCTTCTATTGTATTCTTGTTCATTATTGTACCCTTAATATTCGTGTATAATTGTTCATTTTCCGGAACTCTGAAATAAATATTATTTGTGGTTTAACTTTGTAAATAATTTGTTGATACTCAATGTTTACATGAACTTTAATAAACCACTAATTAAATCCATAATTTTATTATCACATTAAATAAGTACATATTAACAAGTTGGTGCGGTTTTAATCTTACCACAAAACCTTTTGTTGTGGAAGAACTTGGTTAAACTAGTGGTTTATGTTATGAAATGAAATATCAAAAGTATTTTCAGTACAGTTTAGGTACACAAAACTAGACGAAACATAAGGCATATTCTGTAAATAAGATTAAATGAGTGGTTCAAATAATAATAAAAAAGAAACAAAGGTATCTTAATTATTTTAATTAATTCAATAATGAAATTAACTAACTACAATAGCTACTAAGAAGAGATGGATTAGAATTGCCACTTACTTATTGAATGACGTGCCATCAACTTCGAAAACGGCTCCTATAGAGCTGCGGTAGGTAAATCGACCCCAAATCTGCTTCGTAGTCTCATTCAATTTATCAACATCGAGTTTCATTTCTGTAAGACTGTGCCAGAAAGATGGGTGCACAAAAGACATAAACGGCACATATTGTATTATTCCTTCTTGATTTTCCGAAGCTGCCATTTTCTTTATTATTCTTCGGAGACTGCAATACTTATTTGCTTATTAAAATTCACTTTTTATCGTTTGAACTTGAACATTACAATGCAAACAACAAGCAAAACAGTTGCGGAATGTCATTTGTCAGTTCAGCCGTCAGCGTGACATGACATTATTAATCCAATGACAGTGTCATTGGAGAATGTGACATAAATACAGCTGTTACTAGGGATTGGACGGATACAGTTTGAAACTTTCGGTTTTTCTATTACAAAATACGATTGAATCTTAACTTTTCAAATGGGTGCTTACTCATGATTATCACGCCAAAGGAATAAACTGCAATAAACATTATAGCTGTTTTCCACTCAACAATTTCATTGAAAAATACTAATGAGATTTTACTGTAGGCTGAACACTTTGCAATACTCGTACTGGCAGTAAACAGATTGCCAAATAATATTGTATTCCTTTTTGTTCACGATTTTTGCAGTATTCGAAAATGCAAGATGTCAATTACATGATAATGTCAATGGCTTATTTTATATTTTCTTTGATTGGCTTTTAAAATTAATTTCTTAACTATAAGTGTAGTTCCATGTAGAGGGTGGTTTCATTTTGGTCTCTGCGGTCAGCAGTCGAAATTATTGTGAGAAAATCTGTAAGTATTTAATAAAATATCTAACAACTGTGTATTTGCTCCCTTTATTATGTTTAATTGCCTATGGTAAGTTTCTAGGTACTGGTACAGCTCAGTTTAAAAGCACCTTAATACAGTAGGAAAGGTGGTAGAATGATTAGGTTAATAGGCTATTTGTAGCCTTGTAGGTAGTCAGTTTAAATGCCTAACCTAAACTTCATTGACTTATCTAATGATTGATTTATTTGTTTCAGATTAGTAGATTTTGTTTAACCGCCATCAGAATCAAACTCATAATAAAACATGGCTATAACTTCATTCGATATTTCGTGTAATATAAATAAAGTACCAATTGAATCAACTTGTTCAGCAATTAGTTCGAAAGGAGAAAATTCATGTCGATTATTAAAAATAAATATAGCGACGGACAGAAGCTTGTCAAGCAATGCTAGTAGGCGTACTAATAAATCTAAAAAGAACAGCTCCCGGTCTCCGTATCTGGCTAACGACAGAGTTCAATTACTTTCAAGAGTTACAGAAAAAAGAATGGTTCATCAAAAAACAACTGACATTGTTTCGTCTTTTCCGTTGGCAGTAAATATTTACAAAGCAAGTTCTGATGAATTCAAATCACCAAAAAAAGCTAAGAAAGTTAAAAAATCTGTGCTAACTCTTCCAAACGATCCGGCTCCAACGCCACAAATATGCACAGTAAGTGATATGAATGATTCGGAATATTGCGAAAAACTGAGCCTAGATCGCAAACAGAAAGTTATTAAAAAGCGTAATCCAACTCAAAATAACAGGAAGACTCGAGTGCGACAAAAAGATTTTGAATTTTACGACAGAGACGCACGATTTTGTTCCCAACTAAACATAGATCTAGATTGTAGCTCGACAGACATGATGAAAAATTTCAATGGAGACGGCAGTAAAGTGTTCACCAAGAAAAAATTAACATCTTGTAAACCTCAATCAGGTATATCTGGCAACCTGAGTGATGTTTGGACCGTGCTTAGAAATATAAACAAGTTTCAGTTTAGGCCATCACCTCCGGCGTCGGAAGAAAGCATCATACCAGTAAAAAATAAATCACATAAAAGAAGGCGAAATCGTAAAGACGCACGGTAAGTAGTATTTATTTAGTGAATTATAAAAAAAATATTTTAACATTTCATCAGAAACTACATTTAACGTGCACACGTGTACATTTAATGTTTCAGAGTGATTGAGACTTGTCATACCAAAGAGTTTGCATACATATCTAGTTACGAAGTGGATGATAAATCTCCCCGTACTTTCTCCCCATCCTCTAGTGCAGACCGAATCACGGTTATTGAAAAACAAAATGAATTTAGTAAAATATGCAAAGAATTTGAAAAACGACTTCTTAAAACCCACGATTTTCTTAAAGACAGTAGTAATACCGTTAATACAAAAATTAAAAGTCCGAAACTTAAAAACCAGTTTAAAAGTTCCAAAAAGAATATGAAAGCTATAACTAATGTTGGAACAAAAGAACATAAACCTACTTTGAAAAAAAAGAAGAAGAAAGCGAAGCGTCCTATCGATCAACAAAGTAAATTTGCACCAACTAGTAGCAGTGGAAATAGAGACTCACTATTGGATGCTGAAACACTAAAACTCAATTATAATTCTGATGTATCATTACATAAAGCTAAAACAAATGATAGTACGTGCCATACTAAAGGAAGCTTCGTTTATTCAGATTATTCAGGTTCAAGCAAAGCTGAACTACCACAAAAACAGGATGAACAAAAGAGTATTGGTGGTAAATTACTTGTTACTTCCTACACTTGCAAAGAATACAGCATAGCTCTAAAGTACATCCCGCATTTAAAAAGCACGGCTCCGGCGCGATGACTGCGCGCTTCCAACCAGCGGGCAGCACGTGGCCGGCGCGGCGTCGGCGCAGTGACCATGCGCTTTCCACTGGCAGGCGGCGTGCAGTCAGCGCGCCGGCTGCGAGGTGAAAGCTTTTAACAATACCTACCTAGATGCGACGTTGTTTCGCTGGCGCCTGGTGGGCGGCGCGCCGTCATCTCGCCGACGCCGCGCTGTTGGCGCGCGGGCGGCGCGTCGTAAGCACGCGGGGGCCTCAACTACACCTCGCCACCTAATAATATGTGCAGATTATATAATTATATAACAATTGTCTAAATTTATTTTCAGAGAAATCAAATGTAAATTCTGTTTTGCTAGTAAATAACTCATCTCCAGTAGGCATAACCAAGGAGCAATTGTTGCCTACTAGTTTAATCTTACCTAAGGAATGTGATCCTCCAAAAAGGAAACCACGTTTGGTTACTACAATGCCGAGTTCATGTATAATACCAAAATTAACACAGACTGAAGTAAAAAGAAGACTAGCGAATATCAGGTTTCCAATCGTCGTCTTAGGAAAAGATCAAGTCAGTTCAGGTGTAAAGGTAATTGATTACGATCCACCACAATTCAGTGGCTTAGAAGACCACATATGGCCATTTATGGTGGATTGGTCTTCGAAAACCACGAAAACTGCCGTACATCACAATAGCACTATAAACAAAAAAAGTGTTTCTTTTGTGTCGGACACAAATTCAAGTAAGTCGCGCAAAACCAATACAAAAGTAACCATACCCAAACCATCGCCGGTAACTTGCACGGACAAGAAAACTGTAACTATTGAAACAGCTCCTATAAATAAGAAGAAAGTTGAAGTTAAATATCCACCTTCTACTGATATAGCTGACAAGTTATTGCAATGTTCTAAGAAGCAAAAATCGATTGTACAATTGAAAGACAAAATGTTGAACTTTTTATATAAAAAGACTTCAAATCGCACCGTTAATTCAAACATTGATCAAAATGTTGAAAGCAAATCAAATCCTGAAATTGAACTGAAGCCTACAAATCCTTCGGTTCTTAATGATGCAACTAAGAGAAAAGCTGTTCCCAACTCGTTTCCAGTGGTGGGGAGAAACAAGAAACCCCAAATTTATACATATCCATGGGCCAAAGCGAAATGGGCGAGTGATTTCATAGAAAATGTTATAAGGAAAATCCGAAACGGAGTTTATTACAATCAAGAACATAAAGATTTTAGTCAGATATTTCCAATTGGTAACATAATTATTGATTATATTAGTATATTCAAACTTTTATCGCATTACCTAACAAAGTTTAATAATGTAATTAAAATTATTAATATTATATTCTCCGTTTTAGATTTAAAAGAAGTCTCAGTACAAACTGGATCATTGTGCGATTTTTCAGATTCTACACAGAGTTATGATAGTGATACAGATCCTGTGCATGATCTAATAGAACTTCCTAATATACCAGGATTTAATCATACACAACCTGTACTTGAAATCAAAACGCTAAATACAAACCAAATTGCAGTGAAACACTGTGTGACGAATGTTATGGTGCAGTTTGACGTAACAGTTCCAGCTAAGGACACCAAAAGTACTACTAGTATCACTAAAACTTTACCTTTAATACCATTAGAGGTAACAGATAGCCATACGAAAGTATACAAATGCAAAACAACCATTTTTAATGGTATGTTACCTGCGGAGATATGCAGTATTCTACCGAAAATGATGAACAATATCATCAATTCATCAAATACAAATATTGGCACAGACAACTCCTTCACAATAAGTCCAACAAAAACAGAATCCTGTTTATCCACGATAACGGAACAAGCTCGGTATGAAAATGCTGAATCCTTGAGTCTCAAAATATTGAGTGATCTCTCAACATCCAAATTGAGAAGAAGTTTCGAAGGAAGTTTTTCAAATAAAGCCCTGATTAAACCAATATTTAAGAAAAACGTTTTTCAAATTGATTACAACATTTGTTTCGCGACCGATCTATTACCCCAGGTTTCGTTGGACGATTTACTGCAGTATGAAGTGAGTCCATTAGCTGTTGAAGTGGACAATTGCAAATATGAACAGTTGCATTTACCTTCAAATGGACCCGTAACTGATTTAGTACCACCTACTTGCACTACTTTGGCAATGTACACTAGTACTACTAACAGATTAACTGCAGCTTCCTCATCCTGTGATCTTATTGATATGATGAAAAGTTTATGGTATAATTACAACTTACAAATACATTTCAATTTATCCACTTTTCGAAATGCTTCAACTGCAATATGGTAGCGAAAATATTAAATTAAATGTGTCACTGACAAATTATAATGCTGTACTAAAAAATGTCGCAGTGACTGTAAACAACATAAAATTGATTCATTGTTCAAAGCATCGCCAAAAGGCAATGTCAACAAAAGAGTACGAGGCAAAGCTCCTATAAAATGTATAGAATACGTAAATACAGTGCTAGCAAACAGAACTAAGAGCACAGAAGTAAGCCAAGTTACATTTAACAAAGTCAAAAGAAAAGGATTATATAAACTTTATAGAAAATGTAAATCAACCACTAATGTACTGATACCAGGGGACAAAAATCCTTATACACCACTAAATAAAATCACAACTATGGATGAATTCTTTCAAGTTCTTGGATCCAAAAAATTGCTTTCTAGCGTCTTTGATGGGTATTCTTCAGAAAAAATTTTATCCTCGATATTGGAGGTAGGTAATGTCATTTCCTTTAAAAGTCGGTACAAGCAAGTCGTCAAAATTAAAATAAATTAAGTAATTTTATTTAAATGTACAGATGAAGAATTGGATATCTGAAATAAACGCGAAGCAGGCTTTACTGATTTTATTACTGACGAATAAGAAAGATACGCAGAATTTAGTGCGATTCAGGCCAATAATTCTGCAGGGTATCGCAGTCAACAGGATCACTCGAGCTACTGAATTAGATATGGAGATTGAAGTCATTGAAAGAGAAAATTTAAATAAATTTTCGCAGGTAATTACAACAAAACAACACTTGGGAATTATTTAAAATGCTAGGAATTATTTATGGTTTCCTTCCTTGGTACGACGATATCTTCTTTAAATTATGCAGCTAGTCGGTAGTTATACCGACTATTACGTATCATAATCACTTAAGTACCTACCTACCTATCTATATAAATAAAAATGAATTTCTGTTCGTTAGTCTCGCTAAAACTCGAGAACGGCTGAACCGATTTGGTTAATTTTGGTCTTAGAATGTTCCTGGAAGTCCATGAAGGTTTAAACGGTGAGAAAAAAAAATTGTAGGCGGTACGAAGTTTGCCGGGTCAGCTAGTATCTATATAAATAAAAATGATTTCCGTTCGTTAGTCTCGCAAAAACTCGAGAACGGCTGAACCGATTTGGCAAATTTTGGTCTTGAAATATTCGTGGAAATCTAGGGAAGGTTTAAAAGATGAGAAAAAGTTTCAGGCGGTACAAAGTTTGCCGGGGCAGCTAGTAGTTATATACAAATTCAAAAGGCGGCTAACCTTTTGGGGACATAGACTAGAGGTGTGACATTCTCACCTGGTGATCACCATCATCACCTTTAGAGGCACCGGGTCCTCTAAATAGATCAGCTTCGGAGCCCCTAAAAAACCGTTAAGTCACATAGCTCAACCGGTTACGACACATCCCTAATACTTTTTATTTATTTTTAATTCTTCGATTTTTTTCGTAGTTTGATGGAATATCATACTTGCCGGCTTCTGTCACGGAATATGACAATCTTTTAGAAGAGTTATACTGGATAGCTAAGACTACTGTAAGATATATTTTTATAAATTTTATTATTTTTTCACATAGTAGATACACCCAGTGGTCCCCTTCACACAGTGGTACCCTTGATAAATGAAATAAGTGGAATTGTTTTTACACCAGAGGGCGCTGGATTGGTTTTAATATTACATGGCTAAGACCTACACCGGCTTTTTATAATGGTTGCGTTTTTAAAGACAGGCTACCTATAATATAAACATTATTTTTTTTCTCCTTAACAGGCTTCAGATTATCAAAGACCTTTTGATGAATCGTCAGAAAGGCTTCTGAAGTCTTTGTTGGAGAAACGTAAGAAGTTAAATCCATCGTATCTCAGAGTAATGGCACGCTATGTGGGCCTCGGACTACTTAAACCGCCGGCAAAATGCTAAAAATTAAAACGTGTGCTGTTTTAAATTATTTAATTGACATAAATTATTGAAGTTTGTGATAGTCTGAAATTGACGAGTGGTTTGTAAGTAATATTTATTTTATATATCTATTTATGGTAATAAATATTTTATAAAATTAAATGCCACTTTTCTTTATTCATTCCGGCTTTCCGATTTTTTTGTTATGGTAATTATTATCCCTTCTATTCACCAGATAGCGATAATTCTAGCTTATTTAAATGCACGGCTGGAGCGCAACGTGTAGCGGGTTCGATGTCGATCCCCGCACGGAGCAACTCTTTGTTAGACCCACAAAATGTTATTTCGGGTATGTGTGTTATGTGTATGTGAACTTGTATGATTGTAAACGAACCCCCGACAAGAGATCTTAGTTTGCAACGTATAAGTCTTGATGATGAGGACAACCCTGACAAACAGTAGTGCCATCTGGTGAGCAACACAAACGTCAAGGCTCTTAATTACCACACCCGCCCTGTCTATACTTACAATACTCTTTGAGTAAGAGCAAAGGTGGCCCAGTTATGTAACCATCTATTCTCTTCTTTACATCTATTTCTATTCAATAGGCAGTGTATTTTTGCTCCTCTGGAGGAATTGCTTAGGGTCGTAAATAATAAGATTGTATTTAGATTTTACATTTTTTTATTGTGTAAAGTAAATCACTTTTGTGGCGCACTCTGGTTGGAGCTCTTGGAGTCGCGCATTGAAGCCGAACGCCTGCGTTTGATCTCTTCTTGGCGTCTTACCTGTAATAAGATAAACAAGTATTAGGTCAAATTCATTTCAAAAATGTTTAAATTTGGACAAAATTTAAAAAGAAATGTTGCTGATTTAATACCTTGGTCTGCATCAAGGACACACCAAGGGGTAAGACACAGCCATTACTCTTACAGCCAAGTAATATTTCTACAAATGTCTTTGTAGTCATCATACCCGCTGTGTGTAACGAAGTAGCCATTTACTCAAATAATGTATTATGATTTTTCAAGCGCTATTCAAAGTTAGTAGTAGATTCACCTTTTAATTATTATTAAAGTAATGGTTTTTACCTTAGATTCCTTCTTTCTCTGTGCGAGCAACTTAGCGTACTCATTCTCGGACTGCTTGCGCTTAGCCAGACGCTTCTTCTTGAGAGCCAGACGGTGGCGTCTGCGCTGGAGTACTACAGGGGTGACTAGCCTCTGGATCTTAGGGGCCTGGAGATACAATACATTGTTAAAACTTATAAAATTTAGTATCATAATAATATGCTGACTAAAACAACATAACAGTTGTTGATAAATGGCTGCAAAATGTATGCTATGTATGGTTTACAATTTTTCTTTTGAATGTTTTATGTGTTTGAGTATAGAGGTAAAAAGAAAATGTTCAGCACACTGTAAAAGTAGACAGACACGAGTCTGAATCTTCTGCTCGGCGCCGATATGATATGCCCTGATGCTGCTGTTTCCAAACTAAAGTAGTTTAGAACCAATATTTAAATCAGGGCGTAATGTTATGAGACCAAATAAACGTTAAGTGATACCTATTTTTATTGTAACTTATCTGTATCAAATTTGGAATTTCAGTTTGTTGCCAATTTAATCTTGCAGGCACTAGAACACTACCATCCCATCAATTTTGAATGAAAAGCATGTAGTGAAATTTATTTTGACAGCATTGAAATATAAAAAAATCTGCATATTTAGCACCCCAAAATCATTGAAACTGCACAGTGAAGAGGTAGGCTAATAGGTAGCTGAGCCTGGGTGAGAGCCATATGGAACAATTCTATTTGTATTCAACCATTGTTGCTTTAAATCTGAGCATAATTTGTATGTAAAACATGTATATATTTGTTAATGCACCCAAAATCCCAGTGTGAGGCAATATGAAAAAAAAAAACAAATTATAAATTAAAAGAGTTATTAACCTTATATCTGGGTTTGGCGTTCTCCTTGCCCTCCTTGGCGGGAAGCAGACGTTTTACGACGTAACGACGAACATCATCTTCCTTGGAGAGGTTGAACAACTTGCGGATTTTGGAGGCACGCTTGGGTCCAAGACGACGGGGAACATTTCCGTCGGTAAGTCCGGGAATTTCCTGAAGAAATAATATAACCAAGATAATTAGTGAATGGTTTAGTGAAATTCGAACATACGAGAAAGAGAAAAATTGAGAATTTTAACTTGACGAAGCTATATTTGAGAAATATTTTAACTACACTAAAGAATACACTTAAAAGGAAAGATAATGAGCAATCACAACAAAAAAACACTTTTGTTTGCAGTCAACAATAATGACCATGCCTTGATAAACATAGAACCACATAGTAGAATGATGATTTTGACCATAATTCTAAAGTATGATCAGTAAACATTGATGGAGAGCATAAATTATTATAATGAAAAATGAAATGTATGGTATTTGATAAAGGCCTCTGAACAAATAATCCACAGGCTATGCCAAGTACCAGTTGCTATCCCCTGTCGCATATAATTGCTAAGATTTGGTTACCTTAGAAACAGTAAGAACAGGGTTATTTATAATACCACAATACTATGAATAACAGTTTTATCAAAACAGTTACTCAAAAAGATTATTGTTTAGCAAATCACAGTACATCATGGTCTTTTTATAACATCCAAATAAATGTGTAATCAAGGTACTCATCAAGATACACTTGACTTGGAAATAGTAACAGAATAAATATAGTTGTTACTTAACTATTACTAATAAAAACATGGTATTTACCTGTTCACCCTTGCGTACAATGACAAGAGCCAAGACAGAGAGGTTAGCATCAACAATGCAACCACGGACAGACTTGCGTTTCCTCTCACCATCACGACGGGGTCTGTAGCATGAGTGGCCCTTAGACATCAACAAACGAACACGACCTGAAAAGTTTATAGGCCTTAGTAAACAGAGTAGAATAGTTTGAACTTTTGATTTTTCCAAATTTAGAGTATTAGAGTTAAGAACAGTTTACAAGAGTGAATAGTTTCCTTGGATAACAAAAACAGCACATGTTACATGACAGGCAACTATCTGGTAGTAATGATAGACATGATTTTGAAAAGTTATGTAGACTAAAACTGGATATAACAAGTCAGAGCAATAACTTTAATGACTAAAATGTCGTTTACTTACTGTTGGTGAGGACTCCCTGCTTCATGGGGAAGCCCTGCTTGTCGTTTCCTCCGGCGACGCGGAGTACGTAGCCCTTCCATTCATCTCCTAGTTGATCCGCCTCCACTTCAGCGCCCATGCGCTTCTCGTAGAAGATGCGGAGCTTGTGCTCATCAACTACCTCGAACAACTTTTGACATCCCGTAGCCGGGAAGGAGACGTTCAGCTACAAAAACAAATTGAGGTTAGGAAAACAATCACACTTATCCTTTTCGGTTGTAAAGAAATTACCGCCGTTAAACACGATATAGTTATGTATTTGGACTAAAAACTACTTTGAAAGTTTGATTATAAAACCACAAGGCACTTATTTATCGGCATGTTAAATTCACTTTCCACAATATATCAAACCCGATCAACTTTTTTTCAAAGAATCATAGGACGGTTTTTGTAAATAACTATGTGAACATTTACGTAAACTATTATAGTAACACATGATTACAATATTTCATTTAAATTATATATAAATTATTTAAAAATATTAGGAGAACCTTCATGACTGCGGTTAGATTCCGTGAACGTCAGCCATGAAAAAGACCAAAAACAATAATAGTTCTGCTGACAAGAGATGCGTATGGAGTTCTGACAGTTTACCGTTTGTACTAGTTGTCTATGCTGACTCGACTAATCAACTATGTAAATCGAATTTTGGTTTAGAACTTGGACAGACATTTTATTTGATTAATCAGTCAATAAAACATAATTTAGTATAATAATCATATTTATTGTTATATTAGTTGGGTAACTGACCTTTTGGACAAAATCTGAACTTCAAGTTAAGGGACAGAACCGTAACGTAGATTTTCTGCTAGCAGTAGAGATGGTTGTTTTTTCGAGTAAATACCCAAAATTACGAGTATAATTTAGAAGAAATGTATTCTACCATGCTGTCAGTATGGTAAGAATTCAATTGTCCATTATTTGCCACCTACCGCCTCTACTCTTCCCTCGGGATGGGTATTATAAGAGACGACTAGTTTCAGCCAGTTGCTAACTGATATAGATAGGCAATTTTTGGATAATAGGTAATCGAAATGGATAAATACTTATTTTTTGATAAATTCTCCAGTAACGGTACATAACGAATAAATAGCACCCATCTCTACTTTCTGCACCATAGTAATTTGATAATTTTTCATCCTTACCGATGATGAACAAAAAATATTTTATGGTTGGGCTGCTTTGTATTCTTTTATTCAAATTTGTGTCGCGGTTCGTACCTAAATGATTTTGATTATTTAAGTTTGATAAGCTAACTCAAGTCTGAGGCCGGGTAGGGCACACGTTTTTCTCATCATGGTAACGACAGTGAATTCAGGCAAAAAAGGCAACAGCGCTCTTCACTCTCTAAGTCTTTTAAATTACGATTTTCAATTCACCTGCTCTGTCCAATGTGTGAGGCGATTTTGATAGACCTTATGTAAATCAAACGCATATTTCAGCTTTCGACTGCCATAGGAAACTATTTATTTTAACAATCTACCTTTATCGTGAAATCTATTTCGTTTCTTACGAACTCATCGTAGATAATTAAAACATCATGCCGTATAATTCTCCAAAAGGTACTTCTAGTCGGGTAGAACGTGCCATGCTAATAGTGCCTATAAATTGACGTCTAGTGTAACAGTGTTTCATGTGCGTATTTCCATGAATTTTTTTCGACTAAAATAATGATATCTTTATTTCCTGTTTTTGCTATTTACATCGAAAGTAGGTACTATATATGGGAAGTTATTGTGTGTTGCAGCACGATAATGAAATAGATTTCACGGTGTATATGTATAAGGAAAATGTATACAATAAAAGTGAATTTCCGCTTATCGCTAAAACTCTAGGACGCCCGAATTGATTTGGTTGATTTTGGTCTTGAAATATTCGTGGAAGTCCAGGGAACATTTAAAAGTGAGAAATTAGGCGGGGAAAATAATTATGAGACGATATGGTCGGGTCAGCTAGTGAAAGTCTTCAAAGATAACTGTTTAGACCAATTCATATATTTTTGACTATTATATTACATTTGATTTATTGTTTTCTTGACTGTTGTTACTATACTTTGATTTATCGGTTTTTAAAGTACGGTTTTCTGAACAAATTAAACGTCATTCCTCCCTTTGATAAATTGTCATTGAAATTGGGTGTCTCTGTCATGGTCTCTGTCAGTCTTGAGCTTGTGTCAGACAGAAGTCAAGCAAGTCTGAGTTTTCGTGTCGATAAATTAATGAGTGGACAAAATTAAAAATGAATTAAATAAGTATATATATGATAGTTTGGAATAGTTTCTAAACAATAAGTGTATCGGCTCTGTCCATTTAATTTCGATTTGAGTGTATATTTTCACTTATACAATTTGTTATACGTTTGAATTGGAGTAAAGTTTATATCTAAAATGAATCACGAAGAGAATAAAATTATGGCTCACCGGCAGCATGTGAAATATTTTATGAGATTTCTGAACATTTTACCTTCGTCATTGTCGTCACATGATACTACCAGGTAATAAATATAATTGATAACTTATGGGTTTGATAAGTCTCTTTACATTCATTTATTACTTTTAATCTCAATGCAGCTCCTTGTCTAGGTCCAACTTATTTACAGTACCTAGTTATCGAGGTCACTGCCATGTATGAAGCATTCACAGTCTTAAAACTACAATATTAGTACTTACATATCGTCACCTCTACGGCAAACTTACGAATCTGCAGTTTTTATGAATTTGACATTTCTATTAAAAACTACACCTTATGTTGTCCTACACATGGTGTAAAATTTTCAAATTTCTATCTCTAACGGTTACAGAAAAGTTATAATGCGAATCTAACTTTTTTGTTGATATACCCATATTAAACTTACGAATCCGATATCAGTTGTTTTGGCGTAGTTGAAAACATGAAGTCCAAAACAAATGCACCACGGTCAATCTACGAATCTGTCATATTCGTGAGTTGAGATCATAGCAAACTTTTATGAATTGATCTAGCGACTCACAGCAAACATACGAATATGTCAGATTCGTAAGTTTACATTGGTAGAATATATTTTTTAAGAGACTCAGTAACCCATAGCAAACTTACGAATCGAGCAGTTTCGTTAATTTACATTGGTACCTTGTTTGACAAAGAGGGTCAAATATCCCATAGTAAACTTCTGAATCAGGCATTTCGTAAGTCCGCGTTGGGAGTTTTTTTTTAAGTTTCTATAATGTCCCATAACAAACTTACGAATTGGGCATTTTCGTAAATTTACATTGGTAGTTTGATTAAGAAAAAAATTTTTTTATAGAAGCTTCATATAAGGTTTTAAGTAATACTAAATACAAGGAAATATTAATATCACAACATAGCAAACATAATAAAAAAATAACGATATTAGTTCAAAGTTATGCGTAATCGGGAACGCAACTGCCGAACGTTGTATTGGTGAAAGCGAGACAGTATTTTATTATTGTCATTAAATTCAAAAGTATCGGGCAACGGTCAATAGTGTAACAAACGTCAGAGAAGACGTAGGTGTCGTCGTTTTTTGTTTGCTGCTATCCTTATTTCATTTGTAACAAGTGTTCCGTGTTTTAATTTAGTAATTTATGAAGAGGTGTGTATCATTAATAACAGAATAAAAAATGGAAGCTAATGATAAAGTGAGTATTAAACGATTCAATTGTTAATTGTTAAATATTATTATATTTGCAATAACATAACTATTTATGGTCATAATTTTATCGGAAGACGATTTTAACGAATAATTATTATTTATTTTTACAGATTTTATCATTAGAACAGTTGCTGGATAAAAAAAATAAATTAATGAATATCAAAAAAATTATCCTTCAAGGACAACTGGCTCATGTTAACTCAAGAAGTACGTTGGAATTTCTTATAATATTTCATAGGTATCTTAGGGCGTTTTAACTATTTGTGTCTTAATTTGATAGTTTCATTATACAGTGTCTATGCTAACGGTCGACGAGTGAACATTGCAAATGCTCCGCGAGGGGATACAACGCGCTTCGTGACAGGTATTGGTTCGGGTTAGGTACTTATTGCGATATGAATCGTATAATATTCTGCATGTAGGTGGGTGTTGGAAATGTTTTGTGTGCTTTGCTTTGTAAACGGGCATGATTTAGTTTATAGCGGGACTATCACAAATATGTATTAATAACAGTAATTTTATTAATTGCAATGAATAAACGACTTGCTCATACCTTTATTTAATAAGGGTTATAGTTACTATGGAATGAAAAATTAACAAACTGTTGCAGCTAATGGCATAAATTGCGAGTTAGTTTGTTTACATTGTTTTTTTTTTTCAGCTGACTCCAATCCAGAAACTCAAAATTCAATCACGCTGCTTTCAGTTTCTCCACCACCATATTCTCCAATTACCCCACTTAATATGAATAAAAATAGTACCGATAAAAATTTACCAGGTAAGATTATTCTATTTGTAACATAAACTTTTACCATGGATTCAGTACATGATTTTTGACGCCGCAGAGTTCATGTACCTACTGAATCCATGGTAAAAGTTTACGTTACGATGTCTCTTAGGGCTTGCTTACGGATACGCGGCGCGATGAGCGACGCATTGCGCGTTCGTCGTACATTGCCATATGATTGTAATTGCGCGTGCGATGACTCGGCCCGCTGCTGCAATATACGACGAACGTGCCACGCGTCGCTCATCGCGCCGCGTCTCCGTACACCTTGTATTAATTGCAATGAATATACGACTTACTCATACCTACCTACTTGATAGAAAAAAGGTTACGGCGCTTACAATTTAGGCGGCTCTTAACCGCCAGCAGCCCCTCGGCCGCCGGCCGCCTAGAACTGCCTAAATTGAAAGGTTGTAATTAATGGCGCCAATCGCGTGTCAGATTGTATAAGTTGTTTTTTTTTTCAGCTGACTCCAATCCAGTAACGCCAAATTCAAACATGCTGCTTTCAGTTTCTCCACCACCATATTCTCCAATTACCCCACTTAATATGAATAAAAATAGTACCGATACAAATTTACCAGGTAAGATTATTCTATTTGTAACATAAACTTTTACCATGGATTCAGTACATGATTTTTGACGCCGCAGAGTTCATGTACCTACTGAATCCATGGTAAAAGTTTACGTTACGATGTCTCTTAGGGCTTGCTTACGGATACGCGGCGCGATGAGCGACGCATTGCGCGTTCGTCGTACATTGCCATATGATTGTAATTGCGCGTGCGATGACTCGGCCCGCTGCTGCAATGTACGACGAACGTGCCACGCGTCGCTCATCGCGTCGCGTCTCCGTACACCTTGTATTAATTGCAATGAATATACGACTTACTCATACCTACCTACTTGATAGAAAAAAGGTTACGGCGCTTACAATTTAGGCGGCTCTTAACCCCAGCAGCCGCTCGGCCGCCGGCCGCCTAGAACTGCCTAAATTGAAAGGTTGTAATTAATGGCGCCAATCGCGTGTCAGATTGTATAAGTTGTTTTTTTTTTCAGCTGACTCCAATCCAGTAACGCCAAATTCAAACATGCTGCTTTCAGTTTCTCCACCACCATATTCACCAATTACCCCACTTAATATGAATAAAAGTAATACCGATAAAAATTTACCAGGTAAGATAATTCAATTAAGTACTAAAACCTTATATTATTTCGTGATGTCCAATCACAAATAATAGTGTTATCATGACATTATAAGCACGATTATAAGTATATGGATCTAGTTGCTGAGTGTGTGATTGTATGTTTAATACTTCTTCACGGCTTATCCAGCTTATACATTGTATTTTTATAAATGATTTCAAACTATGAATTGGTAAAGTAAATAAATTTGCATTGTTTTAGTTATTGTTGATCCTGTCATTTCGCAAGAAATACAAGAAGACATACGTACACTACGCTCACCATCTCTATTGGCAGCAATGATGAACAGCGTTTCACCATTATCATCACCTGTTCCAGAAATGTCTCCAGAAACACAGCAATTATTTCATATTTTCACTGAGCATGAAGCAACCAACGAAGATAATGATGTTTCAAATCATGTAGATGTAATTGATTATTGCAATAGTGATGACAGTGTTAGGGATCCGGATTACGTCTCGAATAATAATGGAATATATATAGATGAAACGACCACCTCTTGTTCATCTTTGAATGATAACGAAAATAATGAAAAATTAACAGAAGTTATTTTGCCTACGGCTGACGAAAATATACCACGTTTTTCGGAAACTAGCAGCAGACTTAACAGGGGCAGTAATCGACAATTTCAAGTTACTTCCAAACTACCAGAGAGGCGATGCTCGGAAAACGACTTACAGCTGATGCAACCACCTGCAAAAATATTAAAAAGACGTGCTTCTGTGTCCGGTGCCATATTTCCAATAATTAAGTCTAGCTCCCCGAAGAAAAAGCATGTTTCAAATCCTAATACCTGGAAAAGACATATCGAAAGGAAAAAACGTTTGAGAGGTAAAGCCTATAAAACAATCAAAGGAAAATATGTTGCGGCTGCGACGTTGAAGCAACCCAAGTGTCTGACAAAAGACAAACATAAGTGCAACGCTAATGTACCTGAAGATGCGAGAAAAATAATTTACGACTCATTTCGAGCTATGGAATCATTACAAGCACAGCGTCAATTTATTATCCAACACGTTACAAAAGAAAATAAGAAACGATCTACTGTAAATGGTCCATCGCGCAAAGTAAGCACGCATCAATATGGTTTTACAGTAAACAATATAAAAGTTACTGTTTGCAGAGATTTCTTTTTAGACACTTTAAACATCAAGGAAGGAATAGTACGGGGTGCTTTAAAAAAGATTTCTAAAGAAGGGGTTCTTTTAGCTGACAAAAGAGGCAAAAAACCTCCATCTAACAAACTTTCTAGTGAGAGACTTGATAGAATTAAAAACCATATTTTTTCATTTCCTGCCATGGACTCGCACTATTGCAGAAAAAATTCAGAGTTCAGGTATCTAGATTCTGGACTAAATGTGACCATTATTTATTCTTTATACAAAAAAAAATGTGAAGATGAAGGCGAAATCCCAGCAGGAATAGAGACTTACCGGAAAGTCTTCAGGTCCTATAAATTAAAATTCCATGTGCCGAAAAAGGATCTCTGCAAAAAGTGTGTTGCTTACAAGGAATTAAAAACACATGACCTGAGCAGCCCTGAAGAGGAAAATCATTCAAAACATCTTAAGCGGCGCGATGATGCTTATCTGCGTCGAGACGCAGACAAAACAGCAGCAAAGAATGATCCGAAGACTTTGGCATTTAATTTTGACCTACAAGCAGTCCTCCAAACTCCTAAAGGTGCGTCTGGACCATTCTTTTATGTTCGGAAATTAGCTGTATACAATTTAACATTTTATAAATTTGGCGATCAAGACGTAGACTGTTTTACTTGGGACGAAACGGAGGGTAAACGGGGAAGTTCTGAAATTGCAACTTGTGTTTTTAAATATATTTGTAGTAAACAAGGCGTAACACATGTGAGAATGATGTCAGATAATTGTGGCGGCCAACAAAAAAATTATAATTTTTGCTGTATGTTGCTCCACTTGGTAACGAGTCATTCCACAGTAAACATAATTGATCATGTTTTCTACGAGTCTGGACATAGTCACATGGAGTGTGATTCTATTCACTCGAAAATAGAACAGAAATGTAAAAATACAGCAATTTACACTCCAGATGGGTGGATACAGGTGATGAGACTAGCCAGAACTAATCCTCGGCCATTTAATGTGAATGTCTTAGTTCATGACGATTTTTTAGATTTCAACCCCAATCAGTGTCAGTTTGTGGAAGCGAAAGAACAAAGTTCGAAGCGAAAGAATAAAGTTAAAAGAAATAATGAACAAGAAGATAATGGAGCACTAGAGGAGACAAGACCTAAAGTAAAGATAAATTTCCAAGATGCTGTATGGATTCAATACCGTAAAGACAACCCTAAATCAATATTTATTAAAACTGACTACAATGACGAGACCTTTAAAGAATTTAATATAAAACCAAAAAGAAAAAAAAGTGCGTGTATAGTACCAAAAAATATTTACACAGAAAGAATACCTATTTCCAAACAAAAAAAAAGAGATCTGCTAAAACTCTGTACCGATAACCAAATCCCAAAATATTACCATTCCTTTTATAAAAACCTCCCAGATTCGGAAGCTATTGAAGATCGCTTGCCTGAACCAGATGCTGAAGAAGATGAGAAACTGTAAGAGTAGCTACAGCAGTACAGAGTTTCTTTTTATCTCACATATCAAATATTTTTATCTACGATTTGATTTTTTTGATGATTTTGATTTACTTTGATTGTTTTGTGAAAGTGGTGACTGTATTGTTTTTTGTCTGAAATAAATAATTACGATTATTTGTATAGGTAAGTATTTTATTATTACCCTACTAATACTCCAAACATAATTATATGAATTCACTTGTTTTTTTTTTCTGAAACTATACTCACTACCTATAACTTATGAGATAAATCACGTCTTTAAAGGAATAATTACTATAATACCGTGAATATATTATTCTTATACTACAAGAATAACAAAAAAATGCATTTTCTTTACTTCACACCTTCATACACGAGAGTTTAAAGGTATTATAGTACGCTTTACCAAACTTACGAAAGTGGCACTTTCGTAAGTTTACCAAAATATTTTTTCAATAGTTTTCTTATGAAATTACGAAACTACCACTTTCGTAAGTTTGCTAAAGCGTAATATAATACCTTTAAACTCTCATGTATGAAGGTGTAAAGTAACGAATATGCATTTATTTTTGATATGTGTTTTATATGTACAATCCATTCATGGTAAATAAAAACGGGCGGATTTTGAAACTGAAATTTATAGCAAAATTTATTACATCACTTTCTTAAAAATAAATATCGTCAATCTAAAGTTTCAAAACGCTCCCCTGTAAAGTTTAGTTTTTGCAGTTTCGTAAGTTTACCATAAAGGTGACGATATAATAAAATTATCATAAGAATCATATTAATTTAGTTATAAAAACGAGTATGATTAGTTTTAAAAATAGTTGAATTGATTACAGAATACATATACCTTAATTTAATTTTAAAAGTAAAAGTAATTAACTAGAGTCATGTTTTAAAAGTATATGGTTTATGTTTCTGTATGGTGTACATTAACAAGTCAATATTATTTTAATAGCAGCATGCTATCACGAAATGGACATTATTTAAAGCAATTGAGTCTGAATGGGAGCATGATTTATAGGGAAAATTGACCCTAATTTGCAATTGTGGCCATACAGTCACATCAACATACCATATACTACTTTAAACAGACTAAGTAATTCATGAAGAATATAAGAATTATGATTATAATATTTAAATTATTTTATTTATATTTAAATAAACATGAGTAGAAATTGATGGGTCTAGTAGGAGAATATTGTAGGTGTATTTAGCGACAGCCCATAAGTTGTCAATGCTGACTAAAGGGTTATTCTCATAAGGAGAAGGTTGGGGTATAAATCACCATGCTTGCTCAATGTGGGTTGGTGATTTCAACACAAACTTATAATTTAGAAGTTATAAGCCCAGGTTTCGTCACAATGTTTTCTTTCACCATTTGTCAGTGGTCTCTATCTTAGAAAATGCATATTAACTTGGAAAAAGTTAGATTGGTACTTGCTGTTGGTAGGTCAATCAATATAAATACTTAATTAATTATTCCTGCAAGTCAATTTTCATACTTAGAGCTAAAATTGTGCTCATTTGAGACTTAGAAATGAATATAATTGTAAAAAGTAAAAGAATAAAGTGATACCTGTTCATCATTTACATTTTAATAGTTTAGTAACTGTGCATTAGTGTAAGAACTTAATTCATTTGCCAAGCAAAAATGTTCTTTATTAATTAACATTAAATACTGGAAATGATAAGAAATATTTTACCTGTTTGTTTAATCACTAGTTTTGTTGTGCATATTTACGACATTACAAATTTTGTCCTATTATTGTATGTTTCTATATTACAGTACATTTCTAAATAAAGAAATTAACTGTCAATATAGTATTCAAACCATGAATAAAAAAATACTTTGTAAAATAGGTTTGTCATAGATATTATTTATCTTACAATAAAAATTATTTAGTTGCACATTAGTAACCAACTATATTTTAAGGTAGTGTTGTTAAACCTTGATATTTGTCGCTGAGAATCTAACGGGTAACCGGGGCTCCAGCATGTGCAGGAGAAGGAATGGGGTGGTTTTTAGTCAGTAAGAGTCTGACACTCACTAAAAAAAAAAACCTTGATATTTAGTTTTACAATTCAATGATTCTTGATGGGATAAAAAAAGTACAATTTAAATTAGTTATTCAGTAATTAGCATGTGCACAGAGGTTGAACGGTATAATTGAAACAAAATTAAATGTTTTATTTTACCTATATTGAGTTTTTGTACGTTTACATTCGCTTCCTGTTATATTTTGTGCATTTAATTTTAAATCTTATATCTTCTATTTCAGAGTAACAATTGCATATTTCTCTGTGTCTGGGCTAGATGTTCTTGGTGCGATATCAACAGTGTCTTTGGATCTAAGGACGAGAATAATAGAATGGATTTATAGACTTCAAGTACATCCAGATAAGAATAGTAAGTGTTTTTTGTATATTTTTTACTGTTAGTTGAATGAATAAAGTACCAAGTAATGGGTACATAAAAATATGTTTTATGTTAACTGGTTTTAATGTGTATGGTCATTGATATTAAGTCAGATCTGTCACCAGTAAGGGGGTAAAATTCCAATTACTAAATTTGACCTAAAAAAAACAAATGAGGCAAGATAAATAAAACCGTGTAATATAAGGTATGTGATATGAAATAAAAGAAAGGAAGAGACTCAAAGAAAGTGGAAATGAATATAGTAAGGAAATAAACCAAATCAATATTTATTAAAAAAAAAGTGTCAATGTAGGATTTCCTACTGTGTCGTGGGTGTCGCGTAGAACCTAACGGGTTACCGGAGCTCCGGCTCGACGTGCAGGAGAAGGAACGGGGTGGTTTTTAGTCAGTAAGAGTCTGACACTCTTTCCTGCCTCACCCAAGCGGGAGCAGTCATTCGATGATTTTCCCCCTTTAAAAAAAACTGTGTCGTTGCAAACATACAAGTTCACTTCCCCAACTCATAAACTCAAACCCGAAACAACAATTTGTGGATCACTCAAGGAATTGTTCTGTGCGAATCGAACCCTCTTTACGGTGCGCGGCAGCCGGTTGCCCAGCCACCGCGCAAACCGTGCCAGCCATTCAGTCTAAATTTTACAATCTATCAAGCAGAGACAGAACAATAGAAAATTGGCCGTGTTAAAGTGGCTTGATGTCAGTCCATAATAAAAGTAATCACTACTAAGTACTAAGTGACCTTTTATACAACTATGTAATTATCACCGTTCGTGAGATACCGCTAGGTCACAGACAAACAAGCAGATAAACAAATAAAAGTCTAGCAATAAGGCCCCATTTTACGTTGCTGAACCCTATAAATGATGAAAAGATTCAAATTCAAATTCATATTCGTATTCATTTATTTGCGTACCATAAAGTGAATAAGGTGTTACAATAGGCTTAAAGCTACGTACATTTATGGACCCTGTAAGGGCACAGCAATATTTGTAAAGATGTCCAGATTATAGAAAGTTGTCATGCTTGTTAACATAGATACATTTCACCATGTTAATTTCCTTGCTTGCAAGCAAGGAGAATACAAATAGATAGAGCACTCTGTACCAATTTAATAGCTATATCTCAGTAACTATCGTAATAAAAATGGTGTGACATTATTGCAAAATAAACTCTTTGACCTTAAACATCTTGTCTTATTGTGGAATGCAAGTGCAATGATATTTATTTAGTTGACAAGAAACTTTTATTAATTGCTAATATTTCATGCATTTATTCATTCATATAAGATACTTTTGTTTGTGCTAAATAATACTTACACAACTGTTTTCTTTATCAGATATGGAGACAATGAATCACGTAATGTGTGTTATTTATTGTTTATTTAGTAGAATGACATTTTGTCATGCAGCAGGTGGTTTTAAATTATCTGCAGTTATGTTTCATCCCACGTTTTTTTCTATTGGCTATAAGTAGAGGTGTCCTTTTGCCCAGCCCTTCAGTGAATTAAGGACTTTATTTATTTCTTTAATCTAATCCCACTCCATATAATTTTTAAGTGTCTAAAATGTCTCCAATTAAAGTAGTAGTCTAGTCCTCATGACCTCTAAATCGTAATAAAAATTAGTAGGTAATTATCTTATAATTTACCTTAATATCTTTGCACCTATGTTGAAGCCTGCTATAATATGATTCGATTTTTATATTATGTACCTGTTTGTACCGCATTCCACGAGGTCAACAAGGTTTTTAAATCCAATGTCAAAAGCGGACAGAAGCGGACGATTCCCCTCGTGTTAATACAAAACGTCAAGCTACACATATTAACCAAAATAATTTGATCGATTTTGAATCTTATGCCTCAGTTGCAGTAGTGTTGAAAATCTGTTAGGAAATGTGGGTAAGCTTGTTTTGCTGGTGTCTACTATCAGTTATTTCTAAACCCTTTATCGTACTAGAGTATGGGACAATTAGGTGACCCTTCTCTATGTGGGTGCTATGTATGTTTGATAAGGAAGGAAGGAAGGACGATTATTTTAGTAGTTTGATTGATGGATGAATAGTTTAACCTAATGAGCCGTTTTAACTTAGTGTTGTAGGTCATAGCAAGCATAATTCGTTCTTGCTGCGATATCGACCAAGGCATTAACATGAAGGTACCCTTTTTTACTTAACTGGGGTTAAGTAACTTGAGATCTATTTTTCCAGTCATTATAGCTGTCTAAAACTGACTGTCCAATGATTCGACCCTAGCTAAGTTCATTTTAAAAAAACAGGACCTCATGTTACATTAGCGACATCTAGTGTACCAAAACGGCACACTTAAAACTAGCTAGGAAAGTAGCTACTGGATACATAAGGAGGTACATAAGTACCTATCTAGTAGCTACTGAGCTAATACCTACGTTGTTCTGTCCCAAGTGCCGAAGTTGCAAAGATTGTCGTCAATCTAATCTAAACCATCTAGACATTCCGTTAGATTGCAAAATGCAATTTTTAAGTCTAATATATAAAAAGCATCATTTCCATTGTAGAAGATACCTATTTCAGATAACTAACTTACCTATACATGTACAGGATGTAATAAAACGCATCAAAATTACGTTTTTGCGTGCGAAATGAAAATTTTCGTGGACATAACGAGTAGGACAATGGTTTAAGTATTTAATTGTGTACCTATAGTAAAATATGAGTCATCCGATACTATTGTATTGTACAAGCAGTGGAAAGACTCGCTTTGAGACCGGTATTCAGACATTTCTACTTTCAAAAGCACCAAAAAAACCAAGTCAGCCTTCCTATCTGTACCGTTAACCTGTATAAATAAAACTGAATCGCCGAAATGTACACAGCACAGGTACGCGCATTACGACTAACGGCTGCACCGAATTGAATAAGACTTTTTTGTTGCGATCATTATTGTTAGGATAAAAATATTATAAAAGTAAAATTCAATAGTCGCTGGGAATATAGGGACACCTAAGCTTACATTACTTTTTTTTCTTGAGGGGGGAAAAATCATTCAATGATTCTCCCGCCCGGGTAGGGCGAAAGAGATTGTCAGATTTACTGACTAATAACCACCCCGTTCCTACTCCTGCACTTCGAGCCGGAGCCCTGGGAACCCGTTAAGCCCTCCGCGGGTCAGTATCGGCATCAGCCCTGTGCTTATATTACTACTTTAAGATTTTTAGAAGTTTTTGTCAATAAATGCATAAAATGTCTGCCGTTAACCCTCATCACACGTAACGTTAAAGAAATCGCCAGAGGTCACATCATGTCGCTCAGTTGTGTTACCAACAGGTCTGACCACTTTTGCCTTTAATTCATTTATCCTCGTAATCTTACTGTGCCATTTTGATAAAACCATGATGCAAGTAAAACCTGCATAAGTGGGTAAAAAGGTTTTCCTCATTCCTTAAGTGTTAATTTTGTATGGCATTTCATTTAAAATTTCGTTGTTTACCAGATCAGCGAAGCATCTAATGAATTTTCAATGCCTACTATTGTACTCTAGCCATGCTTAGTATTTATATTGTATTGTAGTGTTGTACCAAGTACCTTTGCCTGTATTATCCGCTTCTCAATGCGGGCTAAATCGTAATCAGTTTTTCCTTTTGAAAATTCTTGTAGTCACTTGGTAATTATGCAGTTGGAATATTCGAATGACATCCTGTTCAGATAATGTCGCTCCATGTCGGGATATGTTTAGCACCGGACAGAAACGACCTGATAATGACGTACCTACACTAAATTACGATTGACTTATTGATCCTTTCAATGATCCGTTAACCCGTCGTGTGTCTAAACGTGAATTCACGCGAAACACAGTGTATTTTTCTATTGTGTCTCATATCGGTGCATTAAGTGGTTAATCTATTATCATATTCTAAACCTACGGCAAATTCCCTGTTCATCAGGTGTGGACGCATCATTAGATTCTTGTACAAGTTTTGTGAAACAAACCTGTACTACGAAATTATAGGAGGAACTGGTTTTCTTGTCTAAGTAACTTGTAATAATCACCTTAAAACAGCTTATGTAGGGAAAAACCTATTGTGAATTAGATAATATGCATTTTGCCCAATAGGTTTTAATTTATTTGGCTAGATGCTTACACTATCGTTGAAGCAAACACCTTGACTCGGGTCGCTCTAACTTTCACAAAGAAAAAAAAGTACAGAACATATTTTGTGTGCGAATGCGGGGCGTAGTAACTAATACTTAATGTTAGTTTAGACTGGAATTATAATTTCTGTAATGTTCTGATTCTGATAGACTTTATTACTTGGGTACTAGGTCACGATTTTTTTATGTTTAAGACATGACGAAAGTTTCCATAGTAGGTGTTAAAATAAAATTACTATTATGACTGCGATCTGCACTACTTTATGTACTTTGGGACCTCTTATCATTCAGAAACCTTTTAAAACCTCTTTACTAGGAACTCTTTAATAGCATATTGTACGGTGTACGAGTAAATCATGTAAAAAAGTTATAGGTATTTCGTCTAAGGAAGTAAAGCGCTAAGTCTATTTAAGCGCAACAGTAAATGTACCTGTGTTTACATAAAGTTTAATACTAAAAAGTATCTTTATTAGCGGTGAATTACTTCTAGGCATGTTATTTACACATACTAAACACACTGCAATAGTTACGTTATCTTATTTGTTTAATTTGAACATGATTTTACTCAAGTAGCGGTTTTATTGCACGGTTATCGACATGTAAATACATTAAACAACCTTGTCTACGACTTATGAAGATGTTATATTTTTTATTTACTTATAAGTGTCAACCTTGTTTAGATACGGGTTATTAAAAACATTAAGGTACTGAAAACTTTGTTTTGTAAAAATCATTTCTCCGAACTCATGACATTATACCTTTCCTTTCTTAAAGCATACTTTACGTAAGACATAAATGAATTGAAAGGTCATTGACTTATACTTGGCATAAATCCACTATTACCTATATAGTTGTCTAATATCGAATGTGTCCAAATTCCCGTAGGTACGTCGTTATACAAAGATCGTCCCGTACATTTATTATTCGACCTAGTTTGTTTAAAAGTCTGAGGCCTCGAACGTGATCGACCAATCAGAGTGCTAGGTTGATTATGATTTGATTTAATTTTATCCCGGTAACGTTTCGATCTCGTTAAACGTGAAACAAACTCGTACTAGACCCTCTGAATACAAACCAAATAATGGCGTCAAAGTTAAAAAAAAATTATGGGATAAGCCGGTAAACGACCAGACGGATCACCTGAGTAAGCAATTAGCGTCGCCCATGGACACTTGAATCACCAGAGGCGTTACAAGAGCGTTACCGGCCTTTTGAGGATTAAGAGTTTGAGGATTGTTGGGGATTTAGGGATTGGGAAGATTGGGGAAGGGAGGGGAGGAGGGTAATTGGACCTCCGGTAACCTTACTCACACGACGAAACACAACGCAAGCGTTGCTTCACATCAGTTTTCTTTGAGGCCGTGGTATCACTCCGGTCGAGCCGGCCCATTCTTGCCTAAGCATGGCTCTCCCACACTTATATTATAAAATAATATACAAAAACAATTTGTTCTTCAATTACAGATGGCGACATGTCGATGTGCGGTTTCCAAGGGTCTTCAACAATAAATATAGATTTGGATCCCCCCAACAATCACTATCGTTGCGGACATCTAGCTATGACGTATACCGGCCTTTGTATCCTGCTTGCAATGGGTGATGACCTCTCTAGGGTCAATAGAAAAGCTTTAGTGGCTGGTAAGTTGGTATTAGATTTATTTATCATAGCAATTGTGCAATTATTACATTACTAGCTTTTACCCGCGGCTTCGCTCGCGTCACAAAAGGATAAAAAGTAGCCTATGTGACATATACCAATACACACAGCGCCATTATACCAATACTTTTGTTTTTCTTTGGGAATATCAAATTTTTCCGGGTTAAAAAGTACCCTATTATTTAATCCGGACTTCTTACTTTACGTCTGCAAAAATTCAAAGCAATCGGTTTAGTAGTTAAGGCGTGAAAATGAATAAACAAACAAACAAAGAAACTCACTTTCAGATTTATAATTAGTATATGGATTAGTATGGATGATTGCTATTACTTACCCTTTTTCTCTACTAAATAACCTCTTTGCATGTCCCTAAAGGTCGATTATTCCAACGCCATTTAAATTTTATTTGAGTTATAACTTTGCATGTTAGATAATTCTTCCATACGACAATTCTTCCACAGGTAAATCAAATACCGGTAGATAATTCCGAAGTCATTAAGTCCGCCAATATAGGTAGTATTGTTGTGAGAGACAAAGATTAAATTAATAAAAGAAAATAATTAAACCTTACTCACGTGAACTAATCGATAGAGCTAAAAGCTCAACTAGTTTCACGACACAACAGGTCTCTTATTCATATCATGCAAAAATTGGTTATTTAACTTTTATCCGTACTAATCGTCTTCTTCCTCCGATTAGCTGTGTAGGTAATAAGAAGCATGCAATATTTTATATATCTTTTAAGTACAACATACAGTATACACATTGCTGCGCAGAAAGTCAAACAAACATATATAATAGCAATGAGAAAAATATCGTATCCATGCGCATTCTTTTAGCCATTATAAATAGAACTATCGTTTAAGAATCGTGGGGGAAACGTTCATACATAAACATATAGATGTATAGCTGTTTATGAATGACTCGTCCGGGAAGTAACTACGGCACTTATTTCAGCGGTAAACAGTAGTATTGTTATCCGAATTGAATGTTTGCTTTCCAAATTATTTCCGAGTATAGGAACAACTTTTTTGTTGATTTTGTTGACGACTAACTTCCCGGTTTTCTTTGCATATGTACATATACGTTGTTATGAGAATATGATACGCGGTCCATTAGCAGATTAGAGTGTACTATGTTTGAAATATTAAGAGTGGAGAGAATTGTAATGAGTCCTTAGGTACTTAATTTATTTATTTATTTAGGAGATATGTTACCTATTAAAACAATCTCAGTAGTTGAACAAAGTCTGAAATTGTGCCCGGTATATGGCAATATGCTCACCTCCTATTACATAGGACTCATTACATAAATAGTGAAAAGTGGGTGTTACATTGTACGGTGGAATGTGCACCTCTGGAAGGCGTGATGTTATGTTATGCTATGTTATGTGTTACTTATTCCTGTTAGTTATAAGTTCTCTGATTTTAAGGTCCAGAATAAATGAGACAAGTGTTCACGTAAATGTGGTTTAATTAACACAGACCTATACGACGAGCGCAGCTGCCTCTATTCCCTATACCTAGTACCCACATATGTAATCCTATATTTAAGGATTATCTTTCGCAAACATGTTTATGTTGTCCCTATAATAACTATTATGTATTATTATAAGTTCACAAGGGCGTGTGAATTATATCTAAGACCATGTCATACGATTGTTACGTACTGTTAGGATGGCGCTCCGGGAGTCCCTTTTAGAAATGACACCACAAGTGCTGCTAATAATTTCTTTATTTTACACTTCACAACTTTCGACTTACAATTATAAAACGGTGTTAATAGTTGAATAACTTTATCTGAAGTGACTTATACACAACTAAGACGTATATTTTATTCTATATGGCCAGTGGTGGGGTGTTATTCCTTAGTCGATAAATTATACTTGCGCGTATAAGTGCCACAGGATGTATCGATTGCTTTAATTGCAATTCACATGTATAGGCTTTGTTCATAACAATGTAAGGAGAGCTAAAATCTTTGTTAGTAACAATATAACGATTGTTTAGGTGGTAATTTAAAAGTATAGGTCTTTGTTAACAACAATGTAAGGATTGATTAGATTTTAATTTATAAATATGGTTCTTTGTTAACAACAATGTAAGAATTGATTAGATTATAATTTACAATAGGGCCTTGTTCATAACAGTACGTTAGTTACAAGTGGGTGACTAGGTATGAATGTCGGTGGCATTCATATACGTCAGTTACATGACCTTATGTTCATGTACTCAGCCCATTCCAGTCCACCGCCTCCTTCAAATAAGAGGGGCTTACCACAGTGTCCACGCTTGATTTTGAATTGTAATTTGGAGATTGCATTTGGAAATTGCAATATGGCGATTGCGATTTGGAGATTGCAGTTTGACGATTGCAGTTTAGAGATTGCAATTAGTCGATTGCAGTCTAGAGATTTGAAATTTGGCGATTGCAGTTTGGAGATTGCAATTTAGAGATTACGATTTGGAGATTGCAGTTTAGAGATTGCAATTTGAAGATTGCAGTTTGAAGATTTTAATTTGGAGATTGCAGTTTAGATATTAAAATTTGGAGATTTCAGTTTAGAGATTGAAATTTGGAGATGGCATTTTGAAGATTTCAATTTGAAGATTGCGATTTGGAGATTGCTGTTTAGTGATTTCATTTTGGAGATTGCAATTTGGAGATTGCAGTTTGGAGTTAGATCAATAGTTAATTATATTATTCTCATTTTATAGGTGTAAAAGCTCTGCAAACGGACGAGGGTAACTTCGCAGCCACGCTGTCTGGCTGCGAGTCCGACATGCGCTTCGTGTATTGCGCGGCGTGCGTGAGCTACATACTCAATGATTGGTCCGGATTCAATATTGAGAAGGCTACAGACTATATCATTAAATCTATAGTGAGTATTATTTTTTTTTTATTGGGTAAGTCGATGAATCACTGTCTTGATGGTAAGCAATCCTATATGGATATCCGAAATGCTGGAATATTTGGGCCTACGGCAACCTCAGTCATACGGTGAAATACGATACAAACGTTGTTTCACGCAGTTTTTCTATGAAGCTGTGTTTTCATTAGGCAGTATTCTATTCATATATATTATCTGATAGAAAACTGCAATTTATCTGTTTGTTTAAATGTTACGAGAAAACAACGAATTAAATTCAACGCTTGTTCTCAATGTAAACTATAATTAAACGTCCAATTATCTGGAAAGCTATAAAACGCGTTGTTTAATTAAGTACTATCGCGTAAATTATGTTTGTGTTGTAATAGTTAGTGGAGAACATACTTTCCAAAGCGTTATTAAAGAATTGGCGAAATGCAGTTGACTCTTGATCTCTATCGGCGATTCTAGCCTCGAACTCCAGTTTGGGAAAAATATTGAAATTTAGTTTTTAATAGATCTTTTTTAAGATTATTCATGGCAAAAGATTATTCATCTGTTGCACAAAAGCCGGTAACGCACTTGTAACACCTCTAGTGTTCCAGGTGTCCATGGGCGATGCCGATTGCTTACCATCAGGTGATCCGTCTGCTCGTATACCGGCTTATGCAATAAAAAAATTTTTATTCTTGTCCTAAAAACGATGTTCCATATTTTTTAAGTAGTCTATTCTGTTTTTCGCAGGGCTACGACTACGGCATCGCTCAATGTCCGGAGTTAGAATCGCACGGCGGCACGACCTTCTGTGCCTTAGCCACGTTGAGCCTTACGAACCAACTACACAAGCTATCAGAACAACAAGTGGAAGGCCTGAAGCGGTGGCTTCTCTTCAGACAAGTCGATGGCTTCCAGGGCAGACCTAACAAGCCAGTCGATACGTGCTACAGTTTCTGGGTAGGAGCGTCTTTGAAAATACTAGATATGCTACAATACTCCAACTATGGAGCCAACAGGAGGTATGTCTATGAGACTCAAGACATAGTAGTAGGCGGATTCTCCAAATGGCCAGACACGTGCACAGACCCCATGCATACATATCTAGGCCTTGCTGGCCTCAGTTTAATAGGCGAAAGCGGATTATTGGAGATAGAACCGACGCTAAACATAACTAAAAGGGCGTACGAACATCTGAAGTCTTTACACGCGAAGTGGGACAATGAAGATCTCCATGTTTTATGAATACCTCTCACATGGTCGTGAGAAACTGTTCGTAATTGTGAATGACTTTGTTAATGTTTACTTGGCGTGTGTTCGTGAGGTCGGATTGTGACGCGGGCTTTACTGCACAAATGAAGGACCAAGTTTAATTGTTAATTAGAACGAACACATTTTTAATGTAACGCGTACAATTTGCGCTTCTAAATTCACAGTTACAACAGTTTCCTGCCAACCTCGTTCGACCTAAGATTTCTATGAATTTTAAGTTACCTACCGAAATTGTCGTAATTTATATAAATAAGTTTATAAAAATGTTCTTTATGCTAAAGTATTATTACTGTTGCATAATTCTTTTGTATAATATTGAATTTGTTAGTACTTAAAGTAATGTTTATGAATAAATAGGTGCTAATACTATAGGGTACCTAGGTATAGGGTACCTAGCGGTGTCATTGGACAACGAGTAAATGTTTAGCATTATATAGTACAATATGAGAATTTCTCGCGACGTGCCATGAGCAGTTGAGTAGTTAGGCATTTATCAAATTATTGCACAAAATGTAATTTTAAGCTGTTTCGTAATAATAGATGATTTAGGGCGCAGTCATAGAAGTTTTTACGAGATTCAAATAGACATAGATGTTTTAACACAGTCAATTTAAATACATGGAAATGTCAAGTAATAATAATATGGTTCGTTCATTGTAGGTAGCATGTTTTAAAGTTGGTAGGCTTATGTTAAATAACATATTAGCCAAAGACATTAATGTCGAAATACTCAAACGTTACTCAATTTTAAGTCGCGTGTCTAACCGTGTGTGTCTAACCGTGGATCCACTCGAGACACAATATATTTTCTATTGTGTCTCATATTCAAGCAACAAATCCTTTGTAAAATGACAGAGATGATACGATATTCGAGTAAAACTTAAAATTGAGTCATGTGTCAGTATTTTGGCTTAAAATTATCAATATTTTTAGGAAAAAATACGATTATATATTGGTTTTTGTAAAACATTGAAATTCAATAGATACACGATTGGATGTGTGGCGACGCATGCCACATGACGTCACAAGAATCCTACATCGCACATGCAAAGTTTACAAGCGAATAAACACGGATAGAAAATCCCAACGAACAACTGTTGGGCAGAAAGCCCGCCAGGCACGATCACCTCGCCTGGTCGGAGGAACCTCCTTTTCCGATCTTAGGGAACTATACTCTCTGTTCCCTAAAGTGGTGACCCCGACGTGATTGGAAACAACCTTCACTTCACGGAGCAGATTAGCACCGTCATCCGTATCGCCATCCCTCTCATTCATCACTTCTCCGCTGAGCGGTAACCAAGTCGCAGCCAACCAGCATCCTCGGCCTCATCAGGGACCACCATTACCTGCAACGAAGTTGTGCAGCCTGGTTCTTCCCTACGGCCTCACCAGCGTGTAGGCACAGCACTTCTGCACACGGTCTGAAGGACACCTCCTCCCGTCAACGCAGATGCCGGCCACTACGCACCTACCCTCGCAGCATCTCTTCCCCGACTCACCGTGGGACACTGCGAACGCATCTCTCCGACTCACTGGAGTTTCACCCTGCACCGCTCACCCGACTCACTGGGCACTCAGCGGCACGGTTCCGACCCACTGGAACTAGGGACGTTCTACACTGGCTCTGGCACCGCTCATCTCAAGCATCGACAGCAGTCTCAGCGGGATCGACCTCCGGTCTTGGGAGGGAGTGATGTGGCGACGCATGCCACATGACGTCACAAGAATCCTACATCGCACATGCAAAGTTTACAAGCGAATAAACACGGATAGAAAATCCCAACGAACAACTGTTGGGCAGAAAGCCCGCCAGGCACGATCACCTCGCCTGGTCGGAGGAACCTCCTTTTCCGATCTTAGGGAACTATACTCTCTGTTCCCTAAAGATGCTTCCGTTCACTTAAACATAGCTTACTGATTATGTTCTGAACATACAGTTTAAAGGATTAGGTAATTCAAAAGATAAGTGTATTGCCATTAGAATGAATTACATAACGTACCAATGAAAGTGGAACTAATTATCTAGAATTTAAATGCTCAGAATTGCATTATAGATACCTACGTCAATTAATTCATTTCGGCTCTTACGTCATTCTTCATTTTAGTTGTACATTCAACAGTTATTATCATTTCAGACTGTCACGTTAAGACAGTAGTTAGGTTTTATGCTCAGTAGTAGCAGTAGCAGGGAGGCTAAATGTGTTCTGTGTATATCAATATTATATTTGTTATGTGTATGTGGAGGAAAACATCGTGAGGAAACCTAGGCTTATAATTTCTAATTATAAGTTTGTAAATGCCAACCCGCATTGAGCAAGCGTGGTGATTAATGCTCAAACCTACCTTCTACGTGTGAGAAGAGGCTTTGCTCAGCAGTGAGCATTTATAGACTGTTGGTGATGTGTATGTGGCAATAAACAATCATAACACAAAATAAAATAACATAACATCACATATTTTATCCCTGAAGGCACATTACGGCACTAATGCCACTGTACAATGTATCACCCACTTTTCAATATTTATGTAATGAGTCCCATGTAATAGGGAGCCTATTGTCATATACCGGGCACATTTACAGACTCCGTGCTATTACTGATAATTATTTTAAAAAACCCAGTATTACTTTGCCCAACTCCTTGCCCGGCAGTCGCACTTGCGACCACTCGTTCAACGAGGCAGTTCAGATAATACAGTAGGTATGTTTTTGTTTTGCAATTCACCCGAATTGATTATTTATTAATAATCCCATGTTTTGTTTATCAGCTGACCTACTAGTTGCACTTTAAAAAATCTGTACTTTCATATATTGATTGCGCCGAAGCCTACAAAACGGGGTTTTAATTATAGTACTTTTATTTTTATACGTTCAATACTAGATAGTGTTTTAGACTATAAATATACGTCGATAGAGGTTTGATATTGCCGTTTAAATGGTTCATGGTTATCAGAGAGCTGCCTGGTCCCTGTGAGATGTGAAGTCTCTTTGTCTGCTCTTACCCACGAGACAAGGTGATGAACAGTCGTCATTATACAGCTTTATATTTTTAATCATTTCTCTTTGGAGAAAGCACACGGCCCACCTGATGGTAAGCGGTTACCGTGGCCTATGTACGCTTGCAACACTTGGGATATTACATGCGTCTTGACGATCCTTAAACAACCTATTCACTCCCTCCTTGAAGAACCCCAAGTAGAATCCGCTAATGTGGTCTAAGCCTATATTTTAATGAAGATGCAAGTTACTCCGATAGTTCATAAAAATGCTAGTATAATAATATTTATCTCACAGATATACAAACTGCAGGTAAACGAATACCAATGACTTTGAAACGTTTTGTGTTTACTTGATGTCATACAGACGAAGGATACTTTGAATGTTAAATTCACAGCCATTCTTTGTATATTCATTGATACATAAACTCCATGTTAATATTTATTAACATTATCCTTAAGCATCAAGGGCATATTTAATTTCATGGTGTAATTTCTTAAGCATTTATTTTAGCATTTTTTTTTATAAATGTTTTGAAAAACTTTTGTCCTGTTGAAGTTCAGATGGCTTAAGTACTAAGCTCTCAGTAGACCCTTATAAATATTTATTTAAAGGTGTCACTAGGCTGTAGACGCCATTATGAAAAGCATAATCCAAAATTAACTATTTTCTCTATCAATCTTAATAAACTGAAATATTGGATCATAGACCTAGGTATTTGTGTTACTAGAGGCGTGTAAGATTTTAAAATCAGTAAAACATTTACTAATGTCAACTCAGTCCACTTTAGCAGTTAGATGGTTGAGACCCTTAGGTACTTAAAAGTCTCACTAGCGCCAACTAATAGGTACTAATCGTTCGCGCGTTTTTTGACAGTTTGGTGAACCCTATAACCTTACTTTTTTACAAGGCAAGCGTGAGTTACTAATCAGTATAGAATACTGAACAACATTTACACTTTTTAAGAAGCGCTTATTGATTTTTTATAATAAAATAATTTATATTTTTACATAATGAAATCTATCAGTTCCTGCGTTAGCAAAATGTGTCTTGTTTCGTTGTGTTAAAGCTTGAATTGTTTTGTAATTTGTGTTTTGCTTTTTTATCGGCAAACCTTTACTAGTTATACAGGGTGGAGTAGAATGAAATATTAGATTATTACGTAGACGGATCGCTTTAATTGCTTCTTTGTTATTATCAGAATAAATAAATATATGAAGTTTTTAACTACTTCTTGTTGCCTTCAGTGATTAAGGAATTAAGATTTTCCTTGAATTTAAACTTCTTGTTAATGTTGCGTTCCGCATTTTAATTAGATGCATAAATCTTGTAAACAAGCGACTATAGCCTGCTTCAAATACTACAAACCTGTTTTTGGTTACCAGTGAGGAAAATTCAAGCAATAAATAAATTAGGTAAGGTTTTTTTGTTAAATACAATCAATGATTGTGGACCTGTTCTTGAAGAAAGATTTACATAAATATTCAAACAGAAATTAATCTTATTTTGATCAGAATAAGTTTTATAATCGAATATTTTACATAAACCACGCAGCGTCGAAATGAATTTGAATAAATATCGCCATGTTTGGCGCCAAGAAATTGTTCACAAACATTTGAGACCAACACGAACTAAACATTTTTCTAAGGCCAACATTTGTTATTTATTTTTTAATTTATTAGTAAAGGTTTGTCACAGTAAAAATAACGATGTTATTTTATGATTTGTGTTTAAAAATTATGCGTAAATTATTATGTAAAGTTATAGTATTAGTTTTATTGGAAAAAAGTAATTTGAACATGTAATTATGTCTATTTTGAACATTTATTTCGATTTGTTTAAAAATATTGAAATAATATAATGAAAGTTAAAATGAAAAATGTTTTTTATTTCGATTATGTTGACCTTTACCTATTTTAGAGGTTAAGCAAATTGACTCAGTGAGCTACAAAATTAATAAACGAAGGCAATGCTGCCC